AGAAATTTATTTCAACACTTCTTATTTTCCTGGTCAAAACGTTAAAAACAAAATTAGAAGTTGAAAAGAATCTTCAAATAATCCATGCTTCTGGATCATTGGCTGCTAAACAAAATGCAGATCTTTGATTTCTATTGCATGAAGTAGCAGCACGGATAGGAATTTCAGGAGGTCCCACCACAGGAGAATGGCACTCAGGGTTCAAACTTTTGAACCTCTAAAGTAAGGTTCTCGTATTTTCATGATATTTACCTGGCAAAGCCCAGCATCCTGAAATTGGGGCTGACTCTCGTTCCCTCCCCTGCCAAAAAAAGCACCAAAGGAGGTGGTATTTAAGATTCTGGGTTTCTGCCATTTGCCTGCCTGAGTCAAGTTGATGGGAATGAGGAAGATATTTAGGCAAAATACATGCAAAACTCACAGAAGTCATATTTCAGGTTGTGGGAGAAGGAGCTTCACATGACAGCGTTGAATGGGAAGAACAGTTAATGGGAACAGTCCTGGCAGTGGATGGCTCTTCGCTGTTTCGGAGAGTCCGAGTAGGGGCAGAGAGTAATCGTGGAGGTAGACCACCAGCAGCCAGTTGGCCCTGGAGACACTCGTCGGACCCAGAGTGAAGTCACCTCCCTGCCAGCTCTTCCCCTCACATCCACAGTCGTGTCTTTTCCTTCACGTTTACCAGCACAGTAAATCCTGTCTTCTGCTGACATTTCTCCAGAGACAAAAGTGCACCTCTCAGTTTAAGGAGACAGCCTGTTCAGTAGCTTAATTACTTTATAACAATAAAACATAGTTGCCCAGATTTATTATGGGAGTGCTTCCTCCACCAATCTGAATTGGAATTCTCCGTTTAAATGCTAGCCAAGTTTGCTCTTAGGGGAAGGCAGCTCTTGTTCCATTTCAGTGGTTTTTATACTTTCTTTGGCATGTAGTACTTCAGATAGACTTGTGGATCCTAAAGATTTCTCTTCACTTTGTATGCCATTTTCTTAAATTTGCTGTTGATTTCTTTGATTTAAAATTAGAAAATCCTCACTTACCTTTTAAGCCTTCTTTCATGACCCACTTGGCCCACAGCTCGGGTACCCTAATCTTCTTTGCTACTCTAGCATCTGCCAGCCTTCTGAATTTCTCCATGGACCAGCTTTGGGGGCAGACCTCCCCATATGCTTGTAATAGTATGGTGGTCCCTTCACTAGTATTTTTTTCCTCAGTATTTTGTGACTCAATCTGAATAATTATTTTTGAACTGTCTAGTTCAATCTGTTGAATATACTCAAGTATTTCCACATCCCCCTTCCATATAGACCATGTCCCATGACCTAAGTTTAGCTACAAGTGCTAGCTAGAGCCACTGTGTGGCCAACCAGAGGGACATGGATATCTCATTGTGCTGAGTAAGTCTCCCTTTGGCAGAAACTGGCTTTCTGGCTTAGTGGCTGAGAGTGACCTTCAGAGGACTGTTCATTATCTGGTTTCCCAGACTGAGTCCAAGGTCGCTAGTTTCCTTTTCCCTTCTCTCCTCCCTCCACTCTCTTCATTTGAGCCAGGGAGCCTCTCTGCTCACACTGCCCTTTAACAAGCACTACTCTTTGACTGGGAGCCCGGCAGCTGGTGCGTTCTCCAAAGGCCGGGCCGTGACCCAGCCTTCCTCTTTGTGCCAGCTCCCCACTCCTTTGTTATGCTGCCTTCCAGTCAGTGTCAAGAAGTGTGAACCCAGGCTCTTTCTGGGGCCAGAATTTCCCTATGAACCACCTTCCCAGCTGCCCAGTTAGATCATTTCTCTTAAGTTTTTGTCCTGCTAAGAAAAATTGTTAGGAAATTGGAACCTTGGAAAAAATGAGCTGAAAACATTCACTGAGCGCCTGTTGCACATCTCATTATTCTATGTCATAAAAGAAATAGAGGTCCTGGACTGAAGTCTGAGAGGTACAGCTGTGAGGTCACCAGGAAAAGAGCTGCTGATGTTCACAAATCTGGGAGGAGTCCTTTTGTGGAGAAGGAAGGGTTTGGGCACCAGAGGGGGATGCTTCGGGTGACTCAGGCTAACCTCATACTGGAAATTCCGTAGGAGCCTGAAGTTGTGTCATGCACCCAGGGAACTTTGGGACCCCAACCAAGCGAATCTGGGGGGGCAAGGTTCTGGAAATGCAGTGCTGCTCTGACGCTATGTGGGGACTGCAAAATCTCACACGTTGGTCTCTTCCTTACTTGTGGAAGAGTTTCATTCTCATAGGGGGAAAGAAAAGCAACATGAGATCCGTAAAGAGGAAGGAGGGAGAAAGGGAAGGGCCATTGATGGAACGTTCTCTGAGCCGAGCGCTCTCTTCAGGCTTGTCATGTTACCTTAAAGCCCACAGTACCACGTTGGATCAGTGGTATTATCCTTGTTTTGCAGAAGGGGTGATGTGCCCAGAGGTTGTCATTGATTCACTCATTCATTCCTTCAATAACCATTCACTGGGGGTTAGTTTTGCCAAGCCCTGCCTAGCAGGGCCTGCCAGGAATACCAAGCTCAGAGATCCAGTTGTTTCTTGGGAGCTCAGTGCGATCACACAGGTCTGTGTCTTTGACAACTATGCCTATTCTGTCCCAGGCAGTTGTCAGAAAATAATTTACATAGTTTGTAAATGAAAACAGTGCTATTCATTGTCAAAAATGAATGGGAACAATTCCAACTGTCAGGTAAGCCCCAAATCCATATTTAAGTCTCTGTTGTTTCTAATGTTCTTCAGAGTAAAGGCAACTGGAATAAATATTATTTGCATGGTGCAGTTGAGAAAATGCTTTCATGTGGATGAGCTGATTGTGCCTCTCCGCCCTGGAAATGTGACTCAGGAGCAGGCAGGGGGTTCTGCTTCCACGGCCCCCAGCTCCATGTTTCTGTTGTCCTCTCGCTGTCCTGCATTCTGTGCTGTCAGAGAAGACAGCAAGGCTAGGCATGGGGAGACGGCCCTCTCCCCAGCCGGCTGTGTTTCAGAAGGCACTTCCCTGACGTCAGGGAGGTAATGAAGTGTTCTGATTTACATGTCTCTGTGGGCGAGAGTGACCGGGAGGTAAGCTGAGCAGAGGTGCTGGAGGACTGGCAAGGAGTGGAAAGCAGGTTGGGCCTCAGGGAAACAACAAGTGAATAACACATCTGGGAATTGTCGAAAATGACCCAGGTGGGGTGTAAGTACACTCCGGTTGTCCTAGTGGGCAGTGGAGGAGGCTATGAATAACAGGAATTGTTGGAACTGGTGATTCAGCTCTGATTAGAAAGGAGATAAAAAAAATTTTTCTTAATGATAGAGAATTAACCATTCTTTAAAACATGCCAAGTGTAGTCATGCGTTATGTCCCAAATTTGTGCTTTCCCACATGGGTGGGCCTTCTCCATAGACAGGCTGCGAGTGGAATGAAGAGCGGCATTATTTTTGCCTTTGAACTAGCTCTAAGAATGGAAAAACCCCGATCCTAGCAGCAGTGGGTGACTCGAAGTTGCTGTCACTTAGGGATATGATCCCAAAGAAGCAAACATTCCTGCTTTTCAGTTTCCTTATCTGTAAATTGAGACTAAAAATCCTATTACAGAGAGTTGATGGGAGGATTAAATTAGATCATGTGGAAGGATCATACCAATATAGTAGGACTAAATAAATAACTAAGAATTTAAAACTGATGATTACTTCAAAATTTTTGATTAAGGGAATTGGGAAGTGAGGTGAGACTCCCGTTGTGAAGTGGCAGGGTTGTTCATTGCTGTTGGTGCATGGAAGTCCACAAGTGAAAACAGTGTTGGTCAGAGTTAACCTTTCTCCTGGTCAATTGAGTGGTTAAACAAGGAAAGCTATTGAGAATACCGGAAGCACCACATTGTACTCATTTCATGAATAAACATTAATTCAACAACATAAAGCACTCAGTGCCGTGCTGTGTACTAGGAACTGACAATAAAATGTTGAGTAAAAGGAAGTCCAGTCCTGACCCTAATGGAGCTTACAGCTCAGCGTGGGCCTCAATCAAATCATCCCCCAGACCCGGGAAGGACAGCCGGGACAAGTGCGCCTCTCAAAGGAAGGCACCCGCACTGCAGGCTTCAGGGGCAGCTGGTGTCTTAGGGGAAATGGCCATTAGGAAAGATTTGTCTAGGTGGAGGCTGAGTTCAAAGACGACAGTTCTCACCTTGGAAGAACTCAGCTGTGCAAACCCCCACAGTCACGACAAGGGTGATTTACACTGTGTTCAAATTCTTTGACTTCCTCTTAGGATTGTTTGAGTTTATTGAAAACTGTGACCACCACCTCTCAGAGTATTAGCCAAGGGATACAGCAAGTGGTCCTAAGGGCCATTTTGCTCCTGATCTGGATCTATCAGTCCAAACTCCAGCCAGGATGGAGAGGGATAGTGGGGGAGAGGGGCAGTGTGGTCACATCCCAGGGGAAACCCGTATGGGCCATGCTGGGGCCTGTGTCCCTGGCCTCCCTGGTGGTCTTTGACCTGAAATTCACAGGTGCTCAACTCAAGGGTCCAGGTGAGTTGGACTGCTTCCGTGGAAGGGGAGCATGCCAAGGTCTGTCAGATACTTCACCCAGCCAGCTGAGTGGCATTCAGAGTCTGGAGGTACTCTGAGACATGGTTCTGTCTGCTGTCACTGATGGGACTTGGCTGGAACCTGGAAGCACCTGGAAATTTGGAATTTCTGTGTGTGTCAAAGATAGGCTGTGTGTGTCACCTGCAATAAGAAACCCACACCTGAGAGGGGTCATAAGCCACCCCCGTTCCCACCCTACACCCAGTTGGAGACATGTTAAAGCAACGCTCAGTTTGATGAATAGTAACATCTGTTTCTCTAACTTCGAAAAGCGACTGTTACATGAGGGAGGATGACTATTTCCCAGCTAGAGACTCTAGAAAGTACACTTGGATTTTTCCATTTTAGACATCAGCTCTCCGGTCAAGTAGTCTCCATTGTCCTGATCTGTTCCAAATCATTTAAACGTTTAGTCCTGTGGCTTGTCTCCACCGCGCGGTGGTGCCGTGTCCCTGTTGGATCCCTCTCTTTCTGACAGGACGAGGCATTGGTGAGCTCTGTCAACACTTGTGACAGGTTGGCCACATTGGTACTTTTGCCCCTGTTGTTTGAAACCAAAGATGGGTGACAGTGACGGTTGAGGTGCCCCATGTGCTCAGGGCTCAAATGGGAAACAGAGAGGGTTTCTGGAACACGTTTGGCAATCCCTTCTGAGTTTTCCACTGAGACCCAGACACAGACAATCTTTTGGCTCATGCCAGGTGGCCGTCCTTCTCTCAGCACTTTCCCAGTGCATGAGGCCTGTGCGCTGAGTTAGCACTGTCTTCCCACTGCTGGAAATTCATGTCTGTGCTCTGTACCAACGGTGAATGCCAACTTGCTGTACTTGGCTCATGCAACTGAGATGATAGGGTCTCACTTGTCCTTGATGACGGCTGTAGGTTGAGTTCAGGTTTTCACTTAAGTAAATAATAATTCCAGCCTTCAGCTGGGGAGGGGGACTGACATGTCACTGGGCATGGCCTTTGGCATTCTAAAGCAACCTGTGACCCAACTGGGATGGACTTCCCCTCTCCACCTCACCCAGGTTGCTAGAAGAAGTAACTATGGGTCTTTGGCAACTCTTCCCCAGGATGCATGATGAGGATTGGGAAACACTGAATTATGAAATAAAGGAAGGCAGTTGTGCTTTTGTCATCCCTGGCACATGTGTCCTAAGTTACAGTAATGAGATCAGAGCTCTCACGGGGTACCAAAGGGCACCTCGCTATTAAGCAATTTGTTTTTCAGTGTGTTCTCGTCAACAGACTCAGTAGGCGATGGGTGACCTGATGGGAATGACTTTGGGTGGTTATAGTTGGGAAACAAGTTAACGCTCACTGATAACTGTCTCTGGGTGGAATGAGGAAACCGCTAGGATTCCAGAAGGCTGTTGTTTGAAGGGTGCACTCGGTTCCAAGAAGAGATGGGAGGAGCAGGAAATGTGAAGATATGTGCTACCCATTAATTGACTTGTATCGTGTGGCAAATTGTCCCCATCTCAGGGCTCATGACCCCTGTTACATTCAGAAGAGCGAGCAGGCGTTTGTGGAGACAGATGTATCCTCTCCTCATCTCTAATCCCCTGAGCCTGTCCAGGCATACAGCCACTGCTTCCCTGAATCCTCCCCGGATCAGCTATTGTTTCTCATATCTGCTGTTTCCTTCTTTTTCCCCCTCAAGCAACCCTGTTCCAGGCACTCTTCTTCTGTGAGTGATGCTGAATTGAGCCACGTGGAGCTGTCTTTAGGAGTGTGGGAGGGGGAGGAAGGGGATGAGGGCTTTCAGAGGACTTCACCTTGCGATGTGCTGACAACAAGAAAGAGTTGACCTGTCCCAGGATTCTTTTAATGGCGTGTGTGTGTGTGGGGGGGGGGGGGGCGGTGTTTGTGTGCGAGAGCACATGACAGTGTTTTAATGTGCACATGTGCACACATGTGTCTGTATATGGTGTATGTTCTGCTTTAGAATAACTTCTTAAATTGCTAAGTTTTTCTCTAGGAGAAGAACTCCATTTTTGGTCTCTGTCTAGATGTTTTTAATTCATTGTGGAACACAGAGGGTCCAAAATGATTTTTGATTGACAAAGGTTTCTTTTCATTTTGCCCTTTGGATAGCAGGTCTCTGTTATGACCTGGGGCCCATAAGGCACACCCTCCTTGTCCCAGAGATCCAGAGGATGTGCCCTCGCAGTGGCCCCTCTGCTGGCCTGCCAGGGGCACTCGGCCAGTACGGAACTATCGGGTTTTCTCTGGTCCAGGGCTGCGGAAGCCTTGCTACGGGCAGACTCGCCTGCCCACGTGCAGGTGCTGCTGGCCATCTGAGCACCTCCCGGATTTCCCATATTGACCTTGTGACACGGAGAGAACTCCGAGAACAAGCTCACGAAAATCATCCCTCTTACCACTGAACCCCAGCCCACCGCCTCCACAAGGAGCCATGCGTGTGCAGTGCCCCGACTCGCCTTATAAAGGGAGAATAGAGGCTTCAGGGTAGCTTCTGGCAATTTCTCTTCTCTGTTTCCAGAGTGGTGGGAGGTCTCATTTTGGCAGTAGGACTGTCTGATTGGTGACAGCCTCACTGGCACCCTCCAATCTCAGCAGGTTGTGGGGGGTTTTAATCAGATGCTCTGAGGCCAGTTGGCCTTCTATCTGTGATGGAAAGCATCATTCTTGGCCCAGCACCGAGGCCTCTTCTCTGAACATCCCTTTCCCCCCTTCCCCTCTCTCGGCAGTCGCTGCTGTCGGCACCCAGTGTCACTGTACTGCCTGACACGGTCTCACCACAGCGTGGCAAACATCGGAGCAGTCGACCTTGGCACACATGACATCTCTAAGGAAAAGGACCAAACGTGCACCTACGGCCTCTGATTCAAACTCCTTCTCAGTTTCTTCTGTTCATGCGGAGCCTCTCACTCCTATTGCACTAGCGACAGCCCACCCGCTCCTCAGCCACGGTCCCAGAGCCGTGCGTTCTCTCAGAGAGAGCTTTGTTGGGCAGCTGTGCCCAGCTCTTACTTTTTTAAAATAACTTTTTACAGTGGAAAAGTTTAAACATATATAAAAGTGGAGAGAATAGTGTAATGAACCCCATGTACCCATCACCCGGCTTCAACAAATATCCATATATGGCCAATCTTGGTTCTTCTCTACTCCCACCCTCTGCCTTCCACCGGATTATTATAAAGCGAATCAGAGATGTTGCATAACTTCTTCATAAATCCTTCAAAATATATCTCTAAGAGACAAGGACTTTTTATAAACATAACTGTAATTCTATTATTATGCCTAAAACACATAGTAATTCCTTAGTATGATGAAATATCTAGTGTTTAAACTTCCCTGATAGTCTCATGATTTGTTTTTTTTTTTTACATTTGGTTTCTCAGAATCAGGATCCAAACAAGGTCCACATGTTACACGTGTTGATACATTTTGTAAGTCTTCTGAAAGAATGACCTAACCCGAAGTGTTGATAGTGCCGCTGCTGAGAAACCCGCTGTTGGTGTCGTTTAACAATTTATCCTCCCTCTGGTTCCTGTAAACTAGTAGTTAGATGGCACTGCATTCAGGTTGAGTCTTGTGGCGAGACTATCTCACGGGCGTCTCTGTGCACTTCCTATCGCATCACATCAGGAGGCACATGATGTCGGCTTTTCTCTTGTTTGTGATGTTAAGAATTGATCTGTGCCTTTGGGTGTTGAGGGTCTGATTCTTCCATTAGAAAGTTCCCATCAGCTAATGGTTTACCATCTGTCAATGATCATTAGGCAGATCGATTATTTCATTTAGATTCTAGCATTATTTCTACATTTGTTAGGTGTAAGTCTTCTCTAAAGAACTTTCCTGCATCAATGATAAGCCAAGGTCCAGTGCACACAAGATGCTTTTTTTAAAAGCAGTTATCAGAATAATGATTTGGTTCCTTAGCATGCTCCAGAGGTAACTGGTGAAGTTTTCTTTTTTAAAGTATCCTTATAAACTCATGAATTTTAACAGGGATGATGTGAACAATTCTGTGCCGTCTATTCCTTTTGATGCGCTTATTGTTCCACCTTAGCCTGGTGGAAGCCTATTATAAATTGTCTCCTTTGTCCTCTGGATGCGACCACAGTAGTCTTCCTTGCTTTCTGGCATGACAAGGTGTTCCAGATTCATCTCATATCTTTCCTATCCCTAACCTAGAATCAGACATTTCTCCAAGGGGACCTGATTCTTTTTAGTAGGAATTTAGTAGGATTTAGAGACCACAACCAGCTGGGTCTAGTTTTTGAAGACTTTGCATAAATACTGATGAGCGTGTAAGAGATACACACAGAGGGGACCCAAGCCTTGCACGTGGGCGTGATCACCCACCAGTGCATTTTTCACCAGCTGTATTAAACAAAATAACTCCTGCCCGCACCCCCTCAAACAGGGGTTTGAGGTCCCGATGTTTGAAAGTCCCTTCACCTCTACAAGACCTTGCCTGAGTCTGATTCCTAGACCTTCTTTTCTGGGGTGAAGCAGATTACCAACAACCATGGGATTCTTTCCTCTTGCCCTACCGGCTAGCACAGGCTTCTGCGGGAGGAGGCTCAGGCTGAGGACTTGCAAGGATTCTGCAGTACTCCAGAGGTTGCTCCAGCCAGAGCTGCCCCTGTGTGCTGTTCTGTGAGCCCCGGAGGCTGCACCAGCCCTTCCAGAATGGTGCCTGCCTTTGGGGAGTTTCTCCTCACACACCTATCTCCTAACTCAGGATTGCTAATTTTGTTCTAAGATATTGCCCACAAGGACTGAGTCCTGTGCCCCTACACAGACCGAGGAACAGATCCACAACACCTGGAGTCTTGGATAGCTTACCATAGACCCTCCTTAATCTGTCTCCGTGGTTCAGGACCAGGTTTACTGGTCCTCCCAGCTGCTGAGAAACCTTGTAGGGGAGGAGCCCTGAGCGGTGTCCTGTGGACCTCACCGAGCCACCTGGTGCCCTCGGCTGCTGCAGTGGAGGCATCAAATATGGTTGGCCCTGCATTACTAGGCAGGGGCAGTGAAAAGGAAGGTGAATGATGGAGAAAACCAGTGACAGTGTTAAGCTCTGTAGGAGTACATTTATATGTTAGCCAAGTTAATTGCAAATTGCGCAGAAGCCAGTCTGAGCTTCCAGACTGTTCCAGTCTGTTTAAAGGGCAGGAAAACATAGATCTTATTGTTATACTATAAAAGTAATGCCACTCGCCCATAGTGGGGGCGTCTTCATAGCAGGCATCTCTGCCACCTCCCTGGCCTTGAGGGGCCTCCATGGCACTGGCTGGTCTGTGTTCACAGGGCACTGACTAGACGGGTGTTCTGCAGAGTCGCCTTCAAAGCAGCTCCTGGACATTTTCTCTCACAAATCTCAAGATTGGCTCTAAAAAAAAATCCTGACGTCAGCAGCCTCTAAGGCCTCTCTGAGAATAAAATGCAGTTTATATGTCTACTGAGTGTTACTTGTTTGCAGCTGGGGAGAAAGTCATAGATGCCTCCTTTCTGTGAATGGGGCCAGGAGGGAGGGTGCCAGGAGAGCATGTAGTTAGTCATTTTTATATAGGACAGGCCCAACGGGGTCCAGATCCTTTCCTGCCAAGCACTTCCTTGCCCTTTGCAAACACTGGGGTCCTTAAGAGCCAGGGAGTCAGGTGAGGTTACCTGGAATTTTAGAATAAGAAAGGACTAACAGATTTCAACACTATCACTTTTCTTTCAAATGAAATCTAGCCCAGATCCCCACTGTATAAAGCAGAGGTTAAGTGGCTGAATGGCAGGGGCACCAGAGCCAAGGATGTTGGGCTCTTCCGATGCTCTGTCCCCCGCAACAACCCCTGGGCTCCAAGAAGGACTTTTTGAGACGTGCGGATGGCAATAGTATGGCAAACTTCCCCTGAAGCTTGGCTCCCCCGCCCCTCTTCCCTCTAATCAACCCTGAAAGTGCTAAAGAAGAGAGAGAATGGGAGGTGGATCTGAGAAAAGAATATAAAAAACCAAGGAACACTCAGGCTACAGAAGGTGTGGGTGGAAGAGGGCCTGATGCCACACCTGGGGGCCAGGCGTCGGGGTGCGCATCCTTTTCTCTCTCTTCTATAGTATTTTTGGATGGGTTATCGCCTGTTTCATCACATCCCAGAAATGAGCACTGCCAGCCCAGTGCCACGAGGTCAGTGGGGTGACATTAGGGCTGCGTTCCATCCGTGCTGGGGCAGGTGCACATAACATATGTGCAGGCAGATCTGCCAGCCACATGGAGTCCCCCCTCCCCAGCCCTCTATGCTTCAAGGCAAGCTGACTGCAATCCAGGCAGATGGGACTTAGATTAGAAAGCGGTGATCAGGATGGAGGTATGAGGATGTCCCCTGAGGGGCAGAGTCACTTGTGAGTTGTGGCAGGTGGAGGGTGGTTGAGTCCAAATGGCAGCGCCAGACGGTCTCCCACCCTAGGGTGTGGCCCACCCACTCCGCTGACCCACCAGGGACTTAGCTCCCCCCATCACATGGGTACACATCACTAGCCAAGGTAGTCAAGACTCCCAGGAGAATGTGAGATCACAGGAAACAATAATGAGGCATGAAATAAGATGGTGGAACTAAGAGTCAACATAATAGTAAAATAAATGTAAATAGATTAAACTCGCCCATCCCAAAATGGAGATTTCCAGATTAAATTTTAAAAAGACCTTTTAGCAGTATGCTTTCTACAGGAGACATGAAAAGATACAGAAATGTTTAATACTAATTGACAAAAGAGAATTTTAAAACATCAAAATGGACAAACAGAATATTAGAATATTATGTTTTGGTAAGAGGAACAATATATCAAGAAGATATAATGATAAAGATAAATCTATCAATATTGTCTCAAATATATAAAGCAGTTACCAATAGGACTAAAGGGAGAAATAATAAATCAATAATTGTAATCAGAAATTCATAGACTCTTCTCAGAAACTGACAGATCAAGCATTAAAAAAAAGCAGATAAGACGTGAACTACACAATAAGCTGTAGGTTATTTATTTATATATACATATATGTATATATATTTGCAAAAATCAACGATGTATTAAGCCACAAAAAATGCCATAATTTCAAAGAATCAACATCATAGAGACCATGGTTCTTTGACCATAATACAATAAGTGAAATACAAAACAAAAGAATAGACACTCCCCCCCACCCCCCCCCACCAATCATTTGCTGAAAGCTAATAAAATCACTACTAAATCACTCTTGGGTTAAAGACAGAAACATAAGAGAAATTCAAAAATATTTAGAACTAAAATTTAAACATCGAAAATTTTCAAAAATTGTGGGAGATAAAGTAGTACTCAGAGGAAAATTTAAAGCCTTAAATCATTTATCCAAAAACAAAAAAAGATTGAAACGAGCAAATTTAAAAAAAAAACAAGAGGAAGGCAATAATGAAGATAAGGCTAAAAAATCATTGAAATAGAGGACAAAAGAGGGTGAGAGAAAGAGAAGATTAGGAAAGTTCTAAACTCATTCCTCGAAAAGATTAATGAAAAACACCACTAATTCAGACTGGCTAGACAAAATAACACAAGAGAGGATGGAAATAAAACAGCAAATGAAGAAGGAAATACATACAGACTGAATGATGGTGAGGAACACCCACTGGCTGCACCAGTCGGACTGGGATGAGACCGGCGTCCCCACAGAGGGCGGCCTGGCCTGGGGTGTCAGAGCTGGAGAATGGTGAGGGGACACCTACCCAGGGAGGGGATGGCTGTGGAGATGAGACAGGGGCTACCTGCAGAGGGATTGATTAAATTGGTAAATAAATCAGGGACAATGAAAACCAGGTTTCTCATGGTAGGAGAGAGCCATAAATATGGAAATGGAAAAAATAAGATTGAACTCAGTGGTATGGGATTAGAATTGGGGTGGTGGCATGAACTCTTCATTTTCAATATAGATAGAGACACAGAAAATCTTAAGAAAGATTTATCCAGGACTGAAGGGATGGTTCAAGAGTACTATATCTTACTACGTGGATTAAAGTAGAAAGTCACACAAATTTCTCAATATTATTATTGTTAATTATATTTAGTTATTACTAATTAAATATATTATTTAAAATAATAATGTAAGAACTCTTAGATTACTAGAAATAGAAAAGAAACAGAATAACTCAGTGAAATTACATAAGAAAAATGTATAGCAAATAGCAACGGTGGAGAAACTTTGAGCACTCTTTAAGCCTGGGAGACCAACAGATATGCCTGCCAGCACAGCTGCAAGGGAAGAGGGCTGGAGGGCCTGGCCGCTGCGCTGAGACTGCTAAGACACTGAGCTAAGCGGAAGAGCAGGCTTACAAGGGGATCGACAAACTATGGGAACTAATACAGAGTTCAGCAAAAGTGCTAGTACAGGACAACCGAGTGTTCCTCTATATCAGCACTAACCCACTAGAAAATAGAATAGGAAATAAGGTATCATTGACAACAGCAACTCAACTATAAACTATTTACAAATTAAGCTAACAAAGGATGTTCAAGAATTTTATTGACAAAGATTAAAACTCCATTTCAAGACACAAAAGAACACCTGAATAACTGGTGATATGCTACGATTGTCACATGGGATTACCAAAAATTGTAAAGATGTCAATTTTCATGAAATTAATGTATAAATTGATGACAATTCCAATCAAAATTCCATCAAGACCTTTGAAACAACTTAACAAAACTATTCGAAAATTTATACACAAAAATAAAAAGCTTGTCCACAAATAACTAAGTCAATTTTGGAAAAAAGTAGACTGAAGTGGGCAGGGGGTGGGAGGAGGTGCTCATTCCACTAGGTATGGAGACACTAATAAGCTACAGTAAGAAAAATAGTGAGGTTATGCAGGCACAGACAGATAGACTAAAGTCACACGTTGAGTATGCGAAAGCAGCCTCATGTTTATATGGAACTGGGTGTATGGGACAGGTGACGCCACAAATGAATGAGGAAAGGGGAGATTGATCAGATTGTTTATATGGTGATGGAAAAATGCCTAAAGTTAGGGAGCTAAAGTTGGTTCCCTATCTTGTGTCACATACAGAGGAGCTCCAGGTAGATTGAAGGCCTAAGGGTGATACCTAAAACTATAAAGCTAAAGGAAGAAAATATGGGAGACTATCTTTGAGATTCTGGAATGAGAAAGGGCTTCTAAAACTTAAATATGACCACCCATAGTAAAAACCACATGACACAAAACAGATTGGACCATGTCAAAGGTAAGGATTTCTGTTCAACAGAGCAAACCACAGACAAACTTAAGAGACAGTGGAACAGATGAGAGATTCTGCAGCACGTCAAACTGACTTAGAGAGACTAAAAAGGAAAAGACGCCAAACCCAATATGAAAATAGAGAAGTACAGATTTGAACAGATACAAGTGATAAGACATAGCTTTATACTATCAGATTGGCTGAAAATGAACAAATAAAAAATAGCTAGTGTAGGAAAGGAGGGGGAGACTGAGCCACCACTAGGGGTTGTCTAAGGTGGTAGAGTCCTTTGGAGAACAAGACTAAAATAGTGAAATGAAATTTGTCCGCATCCTATGAACCAGCATTGCCACCGATGGATAGGAGTCCGGCGGAGCTCTCCCACAGGACTAAGGGAGGGGAGGAGGAAGCTGCCCATCGCTGCACTGTTGGTGGGGTCAGGGAGTTGCAGTAACACTAAGGGAATGGAAGTGAAATGGAATCCCCAGAAGCCATTAGAAGCAATGAGCTAGATACATGTGCAGCAACATGGAGAGACCTTAAAAACGTAGTGTTAGGTGGGGGAAAAAAGAACGAGATTTATAGCATAATAACTCTTACGTAAATTAAGACATACTCACAAAATAATGTTTTGCAAAGATATATACATATCCAGTTTATATATCAAAGATATCAGAGTGGGTGCCTAATGCAGGAAGGAGATGAGAGTGGAGATTAGGGATGAAGGGAAAATATTATAAAACTAGAAGCTGAGAGGCATCAGAGCATAGTGATTAAGAGCATGGGCTCGAGAACCTGGGTCTGAATCCCAGCTCCACCCCTTGTTAGCTCTGTTACCTCGGGCAAGTAACTTAACCTCTCTGGTTAAGCTTCTCCATGTATAAAAAGGGTCTGAGAGCTAATCTCCAAAGACGGCCCCAAACAATTCTGTCCCTCCCTTGTGTATGCAAGCAGCTCCTCCTATCAAGAGGCTGGGCCTGTAACTGCTTTGACCAATAGGATGTAAGGGAGTGACGTTCTGGGACTTCTAAGCAGGACAGAAGTTTCTTCCCTCTTGGAGCCCTGAGCTGCCATGGAAAAAGAGGGGCCCTTGAGGCTGAGAGGCCACAGGAGGAGCACCTGGGCCATCTGACTGTCTGAGACACCCAAGTATGACCAGAAGAGGCACTGCCCAGGGACCACCCAGGGGAGTCCAAGCCAACCCATGGAATAGTGAGATGTAATAACATGGCTGGTTTAGATCACTAAATTTTGGGGTGGTTTGTTAGGCAGCAATAGATGAGGTCGTTGTGAGTATTAAAGGAGGTAATTTTCAAAGTGCTGAATAGCGCATGGCTCGTGGCAAGTGCCTGGCACAATGTACATATTTGTGGAATAAAATAGAACAGGGACCCATATAGGCTCATGGTGATAGAAATTGTGTCATCAGACTGAAATGTATGATTAACTCAATTCTTTGCACCTGGTGCCCACAAATAAAATAAAATAAAATAAAACCTCTGACAGGGTCCATATATTCATTTCCTTGACAGGGTAACTATGGCCCTAATAGGTGAAAGGTGTGTTCAAAAAGCAGAGTTTCTCAAAAGGAAGCAGGGCTCTCTGAGCCAATCTCCTTCTGCTCTCTTTGTGCACAGAAACAACTGATGGACTCTATTTGTTTTCCTCTGTAGCACTAGATCCAGAACTAGCAAATTTTTTATCTGTGATGAATTCTCATTTAGCCATAGGCTCCAGTCTCAGGAAATGCAAGGATAACTGAAATCTACACATAATTCAAAGATCTCAGTCAAGGCAGTAATTTCAACCTCCAGAAGGGTCTCTTACGGTTCTTTTTTCTCCCAAGCACAGTGTACTCAATATATATCTGTCGATTATTTAAAATTAATCCCTCTTCTTTTTGAAAAGGATTTAAAACTGTTTGTTTGTGGTCCTTCAAATCATTTATCAAAGCTGTTTGTCAAAACACAAGCTAGGGTAAGTAACCCAGATGTGAGCAAGTGTGTGGAAGGAAGCGGAGGGAAAGGCACCGCCATTCATTCATGAACTACTGGGAGGGAAGCCCTACAAATCTCACAAGGACTGCCTGAGGTAGGTATGATCCCCATTTTACAGAGGCAAATACTGAGGCTTAGATAGGTGGGGTCACTTGTCCACAATGGGCAGCTAAGACACTGCAGAGCCAGGTTCAAACCCACCAATCTGACTCATAGCTGATTCTCTCACACCCTACTGAGCTGGGAAGCAAAGAGCCAGACTCACCCCAGAACAATTAAACAGCAAGGGAAAGGCTCTATGTCCCAAAGCCAACTCCTAGACACTGAGACTCCTATAAAGCCAAAAAGGAGGATGGTAGAACATAATAGCCGGCGTATTTCTGCAGAGCTGACACATGTGGAAAGGGTCTGCAATTGCCCAGGCATCACTATTTGGAGTGCCAACTTCCCATGAGTCCAGCCTCCAGGCCTCAGCGGCAGCCTGCTGGATCTTTCACGTGCTTGGTGGAGGGACAGCGTCCACCCAGTTCCATCCTGTTCTCAACCTTTCTCAATAATCCTGAGCCCCGTCCGCACTCGCTGGCTCACCTTCCATCCCAGTTAAGGCTTCAGAATTGCAACCTGGATTTCTCATCTGGCCCTAGGGCTACAAGCCGTGTGGCTGATCTTCAGATAGCTTCTGGGATTCAAGTGGAAAGGAAGCATGTGCCAATTTCCCTTCCTATATGTCTTTCTTCCTTCGTTCTTTTGGCCTTGGGATACTCCTGGCAAGGACAGGCTGAAGACAATGTTATAATGCCTGCCATGCCTGCTCTGTGAGCTGTGTGGAGTGTCAGGAGGGCTGAGACAGGCCCGGGCTGAGGGGGCCAGTGCCAAGAGGGGAACAAAGAGGCCCAGGGAGGAAACGGAACCTCCAGCTGGCTGCTGGCCAAATGCAGATAGCTGGCTGCTGTTTCACTTCCATTTTCTCCTGAAAATGAAATGACTGTGGCTTCAGCCCAGCAGAAAGTGACAATCCAGGGCACTCAGGGCACTGGGAAGGGAGACCAGGACACGAAAGACAAGTAACTTCTAAGTCATGCCATTTATTTATCTTAAATTGAGTTTTACAGCTCGTCTGAGCATTGGCTCAGTTCTCTGAGGAGCTGTAGAATTTGCGTGACGCTCTGTGTTTTCCATCCTGCCCTCGGATGAGAACATGAAGAAACGCGCACACACATGTGGGGGAGGCAGAGCACACTGGACTTGCTTCAGTTGTCAGTTTCCCCCTCTGGCTTCCCTGCGACACATACTTGTCTCTACTAGTATTCTCAAGACAAATAGTTAGGACAGGATGCGGCAAGGGCACAGATGAGAGAGGCCTGTGCAAGAAGTTGGTGAAAAAGGAAGCCGTAAACCACCAGAATCCTTTACCTGTCCCTCCTTGTTCCTTTCCCTGCTTCATTCTTGATCTTTCAAAAAGAAGGAAGCAAAGAAAGAGGACAAGGCTAGCAGGGTCGCTGGTAACATGTGCAGCACCTTTGCGCCAGTTAGCAAAAGGCACCCCTTCTTCCAGGCAGATGCAGCATGGTTGGTGAGAGACGCAGAGCTGCACTGCAGCCCCACCTGCCCCCTGCCCTCTTGGCTGGTGCTGTGTACATATGCTCAGTTCCCTACACTCTCCCACCTTGAACGATGTCAGGGTTAAAGGGCCAAGAGAGGAAGAAGTGTCCTCTAAGAACTTTCAGAATCTCAGATGAGCCCTGGTGCTGATGGAGCTCAGAGCCTCTCCCAAGGAGGACCCAAGCTGCTAGCCTGGGAAGGGAGGCACTGATGCCACTCTAGGAGGCCGGGAATGTCCTGCCACCACCCCACATGCAACCTACTCCTTGTGTTTAGACTCTGCTTTATTTCCCAGGGTGGGGATGCAAATATGGGAAAGAGACGTAACAGGCACAGTACTAACTGATAACCTTCCCAGCGCAGGAGCCCCGGGGAGCTGCCGGGGGCTGCCTGCCTTCGATATTTCACATCATTATATCTCATCTCATGGACCAGACAGCAAGAATACTCTGCAGCCAAGCCCAACAGGAAGTGATCCTGGGAATCTGCTGCTTCCTTAATTCATGGAAGAACCTGGGAGGAGAAACCATATGGTCCTCTCCTGAATGTTCACACCATTCACCGGGGAGGTGTCATTGGTTAACCTGATAGCTCAGGGACCAAGCCTGGGTGGACATCATTTATCAACTATATTACAGGGCTGCAATTTGCAAGCTACCAAGTTGGACTCTTGGCTCTGGAAATTTAATGTGTGACAGCTGCATGAAGCCAGTGGTATCCAGCATTTTAAAAAGGTCAATTAAGAAACGGTTGATGGTGGTGCGGCTAATGACAGCCCAGAGGGGTGACAGGACCGAGTAAACAGAAGGGCTGAGATGTATATTACTGGAATTGAAGTGTCGAAGTGAAGCGTGGTGGGGAGGAAATCTATTGTCACAAGCCATAAAGCACGTCTGAGTTTTGCAGCGGAGAGCAGTACAGCTGTTTCCCTCCCCAGGCAGCGTGGGGAGCTGTCCGTGAACGGAGGGCTCTGCAGACAAAGGCAACACCTGCATCAGCTTGATCAATCTGCAGACAAAAATCGTTACCCTCCTCACTGCCTGTTCCTCTCTCCCACCTGGGGAGCATAAGGCAGCCGCTGGAGTGATATTTGGAATGTGGGTCATGTTCTAGAAATCCATATTTTAAGCACTCCCCAAAGCTGGGCTCCGCCTTCTCCTCCCCGCGTGTGGGTGGAGGGGTGGACAGTGGGAGGCTGAGCGCCAACCCAAGCAAGTGCTTTCCTCAGACGACACATCTGCTCCCTGGCTTCAGTGAACATGCAAACGCAGGGTGCGTTTTAGACCCTTTACACTGCGATGGATAAAAAAGGGACATGAAGCCCTTAGCAAAAGTCTATTTTAGCCTGTGACGGAATTGGCTCATGGCTGGGGGAAGGCACTGTGTGGGGCTCTTTTTTTTGAAAATCAGACAAAGGGGTCTTAGGCTGCTAGGACAGGGTTTTTTGCCACATCTACCTGTCAAGCTAGAAATTCAATAGAGCAATGGAAATGCTAATTGATATGCAAAACAGGTCTGGAGTTCCTAGAAATGTGTACTGATCCTCCAATTCATTGTGAATGCAGAATTAAGATGGGTCCTCAATGAGATGGGAGCAAGAACACCAACCCTTTTTGCTTCCCCCCCTTTTTTTAAAAATCTACTTTGGGAAACTTCACAGGTTTTATGATTAAAAAAAAAGGATTGCAATCAGTGGGGTTTGTCTTTCACACACTGGATATTTATTATTAGAAAATAGCTTCTATCAGCTGTCAGTACCAAACAGGTTGAAAGGAGCGTGCTTCTCACCGTAATTTTTTTTTCTCCTTAATGAAATTTAAATAAACAGCTCACTGTGGGGAGAGCTGCCACACCTTTTGTTTTTTTCTCCTTTAAAAACTGAATAGTTAAATGAAGTTTAGTACAAAACATCCTCCACATATGACTTGTTCTGCAGTTGTTATGCTGTCCCCTTGAGTAAGAGACATAAAAGAGATGAAAAAGACCACTCAGGCTATCAAATACCCCAAAGAATGTACAGTAGGAACCAGAAAACAAATAAACTAACCCAAACACAACCCATCCAAACCAAGAAACCAGTTTTAACATTGGCTTTTCAATTTTGATTATCATCTAAGTTTAATATATATATATATATATATTTGAAATAGTAATAAAAAAGGAAGAATTGAATTGCATCCTTAGCAGGACAACCTTCCTCATAGGTTAAAGAGGTGTTCAGAAAATTCCATACAGTATCTGCTAAATAAACATGTTTGGCAGCTTAGCAAATATCATATGATTGCAGCATCCATGATCTGAAGTCAAACAGCATTTGCTTCCTTCTGGCGGAGCTCGTTGTGCGGGACGGTGTGCTAACGCGGCTCTGGATGTTCTCAGAGCCACAGGCTTAAGGAAGGGTTTGGGGTGGCTCAGTCCATGGCCCCAGTGCAGAAACTTCCAAACCCCAAACAACGAGTCAACCAACCAACCAACCACACGAATATCAAACAATTGTCTCCTTTGAGTTCCTCTTGGCAGAATGGAGGCCCAGCAAGGACTGCTGGTTGGAAGGGACGTTGACAGACTTTGGAATGAGGAGAATCACCCTCTGATTGGTCCGACGCCATTCGTTGTACAATCGACAGTGGTACCTAAATGACACCTGGGTTTAGGAGAGGAAAAATAAGGGAAGGTTTCAGATAAGCAGAAGCTGATAATCAATCCAAGAAACAAATATGTCATTTAAAACAGCTCCAAACAGCTGGCAGCAGTAAGGTGGGGGGAGAACCCTGGGCAAAGCTGCTCTAGCAAGCAGCTGAGTGTTGGGAGATTGGGCATCAAGCCGAGAGCCCTGCGTGTGGACCGGGGGAAGGGAGCCCCCGTGGCTTCCTTCATTCCTCCTCATATTGGGTAAAATCAGGGTATGAGTGGAAATGAGGCTCCTTCTGAGTTTGCATTTATTTTCATGGGAGTGATGTTTGGGCCCCAAAGTTGTGAAGAAGGTTGGCTGAAGGCGGAGGGCAGAGTGGGTTCAGTGCCAGCCCTTGTCCAGCTGTGGGACCTGTGCAATGTGCTTTCTGGTCCCCGTGGTTCCTCTCTATTAAATGAGAGGGATGCTAGGCCTTCATGCACCTCTTGCAGGCTGGATGCTCTACAACTCAAAGGACCCCATTTACAATGACTATGATAGGAAGGGTACTCTTGATACTGTGCTGTGGACAACCTGTACAACTGTACTTGGTGGCCTCGACGAGTGATCCCCAATTGCCTCCAGCTCCAGCATTCTATGGTTTCCAGGGGGGAAGCTTCAGCATGGGCACCAACTCCCCTGATAAGTTCTTCTTGAACCTCAGGCTGGGTTAGGTGCAACTTACAAGGGCACCTCCAGCGCCCTGTGCCTACCTCAGCATAGCATCAAGCGTCCTTGTTTCTCTCTCCCTCTGCACTAGAAGCTTCGAGAGCAGGGCTTCTGTCATATTCATCTTTGCATGCCCAGAACCTATCCCAGTGTCTGGCACTTAGGAAGTTGCTCAGAAGTTTGCTGAGTGAATGGATGAGTGAATAAGTATCCTACACTTTCTGATTGCAACTCTGCTTCAGACGGAGGCCTCCCTTACATAATATACATCAGTAAACCTATTGTCAATTGTGACATAACTGTGCCCCAAAAGTGCTTGCTTCTCATGTAAATACACTGGAATGAGACACTTACATCTGTGGTTTGTTTTGGAGAAGGCTGTCATAAAGCATTGATGGGCTGCCCGGGAAATTCAAAGAATCTGTACTTTTGAAGATGTACAAACTGCCTTTAAAAATGGGGTAGGTTCCAGTTTGAGTGCATCCAGGTGACTAGGTAAGTGCTGGGAGGGAAGGTGCCCATGAGCTTAGGGTGACAAATTATCCAGTTAAGGGCTGTTTAACCATCTGGGGTGAGTGGGGTGTGTTGATCCCAGTACAAGGTCCACGGTGGTCAGAGAGTAGGCTGTCCAGGGATTTGGGCTCAGTGTTTCTAGAAATGGAGAAGAGTGTAGGCCCTTGATCAGAAAGCGGTTGTTAGTCTTCAGGGCCAGATCATAAAATTCAAGGCTGCTCACTCAAATTTCTGAGGCTAGAAAGCAGATGCCAATGGCTGAGTGCTAGAGAGATCTGGGTATGAAAATACAAGCTTTTAAACTCACGCAGATGTGCTTTTCTCCAAAAGGCCCTGAACACGCTGAAGTGGATCAGGGTTTTTTTCTTTTCTTTTTTTTTAAGCTTGATTCTCTTATATCTATTCTGTCCTGCTGCTGCTTGGTGCTACTCATGAATGTAAGAGCAGCAGGTTGGAGAGCCTGCTGTTCAGGGCCGAGGGTAGGAAGAGGTAGAACATAGACAATTACTAATGAAGAGCTCTGGCAGTACAAGAAGTCTGGAATCTGGAAATACTACAGAAAAGCTGGATTGCAAATTGAGGGGCCCTTCACCCACGACGTTAAAGAGCTGTCAGGGTCCGGCCCGGTGGCGCAGCGGTTAAGTTCGCACGTTCCGCTTCTCGGCGGCCCGGGGTTCGCTGGTTCGGATCCCGGGTGTGGACATGGCACTGCTTGGCAGCCATGCTGTGGTAGGCGTCCCACATATAAACTAGAGGAAGATGGGCACGGATGTTAGCTCAGAGCCAGGCTTCCTCAGCAAAAAGAGGAGGACTGGCAGTAGTTAGCTAAGGGCTAATCTTCCTAAAAAAAAAAAATAAATAAAAAAAAAAAATAATAAAGAGCTGTCATGCTCAGCGTCAGTAAGCAGAGAGGTAGCTGTGGGCGCATGGAGGCAGCACTTTCTTCCACAGTGAAGGGAGCAGCCCACGAGCGCTGGGGCCAGGCACATGGGGCTGAATCCCCATCCTCCACTCAGTGGCTCTGGGACTCTGGAGGGGTTGTCTCTAAGCTTCAGTTTCCTCGTTTGCAAAATGAATAATGATGTCTGAGATAATGCATAAAAAGCACTTAGCACAGTGCCTCACACACACACACGTTAGTGTTCTTGGCCTGAAATTTTTGATGTGTTAAATATGGGAAAGGAGGTGATAATTTTGTGAGACTCCTCCTAAGATACCAGAAACTGGGGGGTGGTGGGGAGGATAGGGGAGGTTGGGCTATTTCTCTTGCTGTCAGTGTGGCTCTGGGCCAGGACAGGCTGCACCCCCTGGGAGCTTGTTAGAAAATCAGAATTTTGGGCTCCACCCAGACCTAAGGAATCAGAGCCTGCATTTTAACAAGATCCCCAGGTGATTTTCACATAGATCCAGGCCCAAGAAGCCTTGCTTCAAGGAACACAGGGGGTCAACGACTTGGCCAGAAAACACAAAAATCAGCTCACTTGTTCAGACAAATAAATGAGATCTTATTATGCATTAATCTATCTTAATTGCTATAACCCACTACAGTCTGCAGGCAAATTCAATCAATATGAAGAAAGTATCATGTGAAGATGACTCCTTATCAGGGAAAAGAAAGGAAGTTGGGCAGAAGGCAGAAGGGACCACGGTTTGGAAGTGGCCTGGGTTAATGCTAGGAGCTGGGAGCTCCAAGTCACTCCCTCTCCGCCACAGGACAGAAGAGAAAAAAAGGAGGTTTGATTTAGAGAAATAAAGAGGCAGTGAGAAAAAATAGACAACATAAACCAAAAAGAAGCTATAGCAATAGTAACGTTGGGAACTTCATTTAGCTATTTCCTAAATTTCCAAGGTTTTAAGGAGAGAGGAGGAATAAAGAGCACAAGGCCACTATTTTAAAATTACTATTCCTTCTGGGATGGATTTCTTGAAGTGTATTCATTTATTCATCCAAGGATATTTATTAACCTCCTATCATGGGCAAGGTCTATACAGAGTTGTGGTGACATGGGTGACACAAGGAGGGCTAGAATATATTAGCATTCTCTTCTCCCCATCAGAGAGGTGGCAGGCTGTGGCCCAAGGTTTGCTGTAAAGTCAAGGTAGGCTTTGGTATTCTGCCCTTCCTCTCTGGAGGTTATGGTGCTACCCAAGCATATTGATGGGGCCGGGGCTTTGTGAGTTGCCTTCCCTGAAATGGGCCCAGCTCTCTGATCCCTGATTGCGCCAGGGAAGAGAAGAGGACTGTGTGGGAGTAAATCAACCCAGAGAAATGCCCTGCAGGGGATCACACTGGACCCCCTCAGGCTGCCCGGGTGTGTCTAAACCAGCCCACAGTGGACCTCCAGGACAGTGTTCTCTTGGAGGTTTCTCCCCTTGATAATGAGAATTTACATGATTAAGCCATGGGACTGGGAGTCAGCTGGAGGAACCGGATCGTTCATGCATTTTGTTCTGTGATTTAACCCAAGTTCTGTGCTGGGTACTGGTTGCAGTGACACAGTGAAAGGAAGGACTTCCTGTGGGTCACTGCCCTGTGGCCTCCATTCTTGCACCTCTGAACTGGGAAACGAATTCCACTGTGGACAGTCTCTTAATGCGTGGGGTGGACTCAGTTCTCCTCTAGCTCTCTTGGTGCCTGTGCGTGGACTTCAAATGGTTTGTGACATGAACAGTGATGTTTCTGGGGCACCTCTCCCCTGAGCTCGCAGAGTGGAGTTGGCTGAGGCCTTGGCTTCCTGGTTCTTAGATGCTTGAGTTTTGGCATAGCAGGTTCCAGAAGGCAGAACTCCCAAGTTTGTGTCAAGATGGGGCCTCATGGCCACGTGAGCTGGCAAGGAACTCCAAAGGCACTCTCAGGTGTGCAGCATGGGTGCGTGTCCCTCTTCACAGCGCCCAGCGAGGCCCTTCCAAAAAGGCTCGTCTGAGGAGCCAGGCTGGGACTGACACCGTGTTTGTTTATCTAAGACATTTTCACAGCATATTCTCCTTAAGCCTGACAGCTTGTTTACAGTGGGTTTCTGCTGGAGGGCAGTTTCCAAGTGCTGTCAGCTTCTGAATTATGGCTCTTGCCAGAGCCGCTCAGCACAGCATTTATCTGGGAAGGAGTTAGTCTAGATTCGGTTACCTATTGCTGAGCTGACACCGTGGCAACACGTTCTTCACACCAGTCAAAGGGGACAAATGCCTTTCTTTCTCTCTAGCTGCTTTGCATTATATAGAGGGCAGTGGGGGAGAGGGGGCGGTGGGAGCTGGAGGAGCAGGGAAGCCATCATTACAAAACTCGAAAAATTGGTGCCTCTGCTGGGTGCTCTGATATATGTTACTGATGTTATCTCACCTAATCCTCACAACAGCCCATTGACCCAGGGGTTATCAATCACTTTTAATAAAAAGGAAGGATGATCAGAGAGGTTAAGTACCCTGTTTGAAGTTACACAGCTATTAGGATGCTAAATCTTGAGTTTGAACACAGGGCCTTTAGATTCTAAATGCACGTGCTTTTCCCTATGCAGCACGGCCTCTTGGAACATTTCCAGAGTGAAGTATGTTCTCCCTCTCCTGGAAGAGCCGACTCCACGTACCTTTCCCACCCAGACCTTCCTTTCACCTGAAATGGACATGAAACAGGGTGACATCCATTCTTCTCTAGGTAATCTTTTTCTTTCTTTTTTTCCTTTCTTTTTTCTGCTCCCCCTCCTCATTCCCTTTTCTTTCTTTCTTGTTGTGTAAGTGTTTGCTTTACAAAGCAGGTTTTCAGAAAGGCCTTGAAATGATTTGAAAGCCCAGTATTTAGGTCTACATCTTCATCCATCCTTCATCTTAGGAACTCTCTAAGAAAAATCACAGCCTAGTAAACCTCTAAACATGGTAAAAACGTCACTGGATTATTTTCCAAAGTACTTTCCTGTGTACTTTGTCACCTCAATCTCCTAGCACCCGGGGAAGTTGGCAAGATGGGTTTTACTATCACCCCCACTTCACAGATGAGGACACTGAGGCTCAGAGAAGTACAATGACTCTCCCAAGGTGGCGCACTCGACAGGGAGTTAGACAGTGCTACGGAGGCCACTTAATGTCTTATTTCGAACCCGCTTCTCATCACAGTGTCCTTGTGACTTCGGAGTCAGTTTCACTGCTTGACTCCCAAGGAATCAGGACACATTTTGGAAGCTTAGACTTTTAAAGGAGGCAATAATAGTTTTGCTTGGGGGCTTCATTAGGCTGGGAACAAATGCCTAAATGAACTAGAAAACTCGGATAAAGTCTGCAGCATCAGAACACTCCCTATTTACCAAGGCTCGAGTCATGTGCCCGTTACTGAGACTGAAGTATCTCCCCCATTTACCGTCTGAACGCTCTCACCCACGGGGAGGGACAGAGCTGGGAGAGCCGCGCCATGAAGGAGCCGGAAATGAGCAGAGGGTTGTGCTCAGGGTCGGAGGAATGGCAGCTGGTGGGACGGGGTGTGGAGGACAGCGGAAGGGAGGAGTTGTGAGTGCTAGAGGCTGCCCCATGTTGACCCTGAGTTATGGGATATGGGAATGTACACTTGAGACAGGAAACACATATTGAGTAACAATGGAACGTGCTCAGATTAGAAGTCAGCAGGCACGGGAGAGTAACACCAGGAAGCAGGGGGCCTGCTTTCTGAAACTATTCTGGAAGATAGTGACGTTCTTCCCTGCAGGTCCCAGACCTGCACAGAGAGAGGGACCACGTGGTGCACTTCTGGGTGCTGCCAACGGGTGCCCGAGCCATCAACTTACTTCACGAGTTAAAAGGATGAAAAAACAGAGATGTTTAAAAATCCTTTCCCGTGTGCAGCAGGAATACTTATTGCGAAATGGTTTTTCTTTGGTGGCGGCCTCTTAGCTAGATAAATGAGTGTTTTTATGGGCAGTAGAGTCAATATCCCAACGCACAGAATAATCATCACGCAAAGTGCAGCTCCACGTCCAACAAAGACTTTAGGCTGTGTCAGGATGTCAGGAGAAAAGAACCAGCAGGAGGATTCATGATCTGTGCAGACAGCAGCGGCCAAGTGCATCATTCATAATACCCCACAATCCCAGCAAAAGTGAGGAACATAAACAAGAGAAAGCAAACCCCATGCCTCCTAAGAGAGGGAGTCCTAGACTCCTGGAGGAGAGAAATGTCCGGGGGGAGTGTGTCTTTGACTGATGGGCTCTCAGGAGTGGGGGTTTTCCTGGACTTGATCTGCTCTTCCCAGCAGTGCACACACATGTACACATGCACGGACACTCACATGCAGTAATAAACCAAACCACACGCTCTCGCCAGCATTTGAAGGTCTGTCTTCTACGGGGCAGGTGAGATGTGCTACAGACAAGAGGGAAGGCTGTGCCAGCTGTGGGGCTGCCAGCTCCAGCTGGCCTGAACCCCGGGCCACCGGCCATACTTACTAGTGTCCAAAAGAGGTAAATAGTGAAGAGTGCGACAGTGAGTGCAATCAGTCCGACGGCTTCGAGCCGACTACTAAAGTGCAGGTGGTCCACGGCGCCCCGCAGGCAGAGCCAGCCCGAGATGGTGGCCAGGGGAGTTATGAACAAGAAGCACACCATGTCTCCAAACAGAGTCCGCTTCTCATGCTGGGGGCCTGGGTTTCTGAGCCACTGCCAGGGAAAGGGAGACAGAGAAAAACAAGGAAAAGGTTAAATACCAGTGTGGAGTGGAGACACTACTCTGAAGGTGACTTTGTCTTCAGAATCTGGGGAAAGGTACTTCTGACTGGTTCTGAAATCACAAGGAAGCATTAGGGGCTCATTCCCATGTCCCCGCCCCTGAATAACAGTGATTATGACAATAACATAATATCACAATAGCAATTATGATAATAATAAATAATAATATTAAAAGTGTCCTTGCTGTAGATAGCTTGCTATTTCTGAAAATAATTCAGTGGTGACTATTATGAATCACAATGATCGTATGTGAAAGGTAGAGAGGATGTTATCTTTGGAAGGTAACAGTTGAGGTGCAAGAAGTTCTGTCATGTGGCCAAAGCCTTCCAGGGTCTTGCCTCTGGAAATATGTGCAGGAAAGGGTTAACTCAGTAGGCTTGGGTTGCTCAAATCCTGCAGGTTCCCAAGAAACAGCAGGTTTCAAGACTGGCTCCTAAGAGATGAGTTCTGAGTCCTTGTAATATTCTGCCCGATAACTGAGTTTTTGTGTGGTCACAAGGTCACATGGTACCAGTGTGATCAAAGAGTTTATGCCAAAATGTGATTTCAGCTGATCACCTGTTTTTGCCCTGGGGGGTTGGAGTCTGAGTAGCTGGGGTCAGTCATGCAGGTGCTGCATACCTTGTGACTGACCCCAATAAACAATTTGGACACCAAAGCACAGAGAGCTTTCCTGGTTGATAACACTTTGCACGTGTTGTCACAAATTGCTGCTGGAAAAATTAAGCACATCTGTGCATCATCACTGGGAGGGGACACCTGGTAGCTTGTGCCTGGTTTCTCCTGGACTTTGCCCATGCACCTTTTCCCTGTGCTGATTTTCACCTGTGTCCTTTTGCAGTAATAAATTGTAACCATGAGTATAAGAGCTTTCGTGTGTCCTTCTAGTCAATCACTGAGGTTGAGGGTCTTGAAGATGCCCCCACATAGAATGAGACACACCTGACTCCATGAACTCAGTAATGACTCCACCCTCATGTTTTAGGACCCTGAACCTCCTACTTAGGACCCTCCTACTTAGGACCCTCTCTGACATCTTAATTGTGCTACCGTCTTGACTGGGCCAACCCCAAAAAGGATGGGGAAAACTTCGTGCTTGTTGAAAGACTAGAGGAGAGGAAACAGGGTTGTTGTCCTCCCACTTGGAGAATTGCTGAATGCCTGCTTAAATGTTTTCCATAATCCATTCTAGGAAAAGTCATGCTTACGTAGTGGTGTCAGTAATAGTGGGAATGAGGCCTTTTGGCTTTTCTTCAGATTAGCACTGACACATGTCCCCAAATAATTTGACATTCCCATCTCACTATCCCATGTAGTAATGACAGAGGCCGAGGAGTCCAGAGGAGTGGGGTCAAACACAGATGAGTGGGGGTGGGGAGAGACACTGGCTGACTCTGTCTTCCATCTCGTCCCACCAACGAATGGGCTTAGCAGGGCTGTGGGGTGGCATGCCAAACGGGAGCACTGTGGGCTGCTGAGCAGACACCCCAAGTGGCCGGGGCAGCAATTCCCACAAACCATTGGTGGGAGGGAATGGACTATGACATGGAAGACAAGAATGGGTGGAACTGATAGGAGAGAAGGGAAGGCCATGCTCAAGGGCAGAAGGAAGAGACTGAAGAGCTGCAAAGAGGGCAAGCAAGCTGAGGAAAGAGCAGTATAAGGCTGCAAAAGCCTCAAGGAGTGTGCAGAAGAGAGGGAAGGAAAAAGGCACAGAAGAATGCTCTCTGGGAGGTGCCCATCCTCCAATGCTTGCCTGAGGCAGATATCAATGACCTGGAATGCCAGACATCCCACTTTCCAGGAACAACCCACCTTAACAATGGGCTGAGGTGCTGAAAGAAGTCAACCTCAGATCAGAAATAGACCTGTATAAATACCAAAAACTAGATAATGGGCAGTTGACTTGTCTGTGAATGTAAATACAGCATTATAAAAATTTAATATAAACACCAAAATGATCACGTGCAAACGGTATTAACCCTGGCGCGTGTTGTCGTGCCACCCTAGACATCTCAGCAGCTTCAAAGAAATTCAGAGTTCTTATTAATTAACATTTCTTGCCTAAATCCTGGGAATGTTGCTCTGAAGTGGAGAGGAGAAATCAGCCATTATTATTCCAATTTTACAGAGGCTCAGCAGGGTTAAATGACTGTCCCAGCGGGTTCAGGGGTTGAACTGAGAAGAGGGTCAGGATCTTTCCACTCTTGTTTAGATGTCCTATCAGCGAAATATTTGAAAATTAAAATTGCAAGACATTTAGAAATCCTGATTCTTAAACAATGGTGCCCCAAATGCAGCCACCTCACTCCCTGCTTCCCTGGAGCCAGACGGGGAAGCCCGACCTGCTTTCCTCTGTACTCCCCACTTGTTGGAACAGAGGAAGTTCTTGATAAATACGTGACAGATGTGCACAGACAAGCTGACCTCATTGGCTGAGATTTCCCTCAATTTCTTTTGTTTGGAAATTCTGGATACATTTTATTAAAAAGAATTTAGTACTTTAATTATTTATGTGGCCCTTGACATTACCCAATAAAATGACTCAGGTACGGGAGGAGGTAATTATGAATCACTACTTATCTCTGTCTGATGTAAAATAAACTGCAAAGGCAAACTAGAAATTACTATTGCTTGTTCCCAGTTTCCTATTTCCTAATTATTCTCTGATCTACATTCCTAAAAAATTTCCAGGTTATTTTATATGTCCGTGATCACCCGATATCTGGAGTCCACTCCTTATTAACGCTACATATATATTTTTGGCTCAGCTTACTCTTTGTGTTGTTTGCTGCTGAGTCATATTTAGGTATGAAGTTCTCTAAATGGGTACTATGATGTTAAAATCTGTGACTTCTTCAGAACTTCAAGTGTTATTTATCTCTTACACAAATGCAGGCCCCACGAACAAGAGCAGTGGTAACAAACTGTTGCTGAGAAAAAATTGCCCTGAGCCCCGGTAAGAACCCCTGCCAAAGTATCCAAATGGGTTGATACAGGATATTTATGTAAGCAGAGTTTATTACAGAGAAAGTGTGATTACAGCTCAATTTTCCAGCAAAAGGGGACTGTCTAAATAAATTATGGAATTTATGTAAAATAGAATATGATATATAATTTCAAATGATAATGTACATTTTATATTTACTGACATGATATATTACTGAGCAGGAAAAGAATTCTACTGGACAGAATGTGATCCTTTATATGTAATAGTGTATTTACATACACATAGACATTTATATTTACATAGACGTAGTGGATTTACATAGACAAAGATGAGAAGGATACCCAGCAAAATAGTGGCTATTTTTGGTGGTGGAATCATGAGTGGTCTTTAATTTTTTCCTTTTTGTATGTATTTTCTTGTTTTTCTAAAATGATGATGGATTACCTGTGGAAATATATATGTATATATTAGCTGTGCAAAAACATCGAGAGAGACAGATACACACACACACACTGAGACAGGCAGAGACGAGGGAGTCAGGGGAGGGAGGTGTCTAGCTAGAGCATAGCAAACTATAGCAGTGAAAAAACTACTACTGAGCTATGGCTGGGGCAAGCTCAGTGCTGGAAATTTGGAGTTTATGAGGCACTATCTCAATGAGTCTTCATAGTAACCCTGTGAAGCAGGTGCTAACATTATCCCCATTTTACAGATGCAGACACTGGGGAGCAGAGAGTGTAATCACTCACCTAAGGATAGATAGCAGGTGGGTGTTAGAAGTGGGATGCAAACCAGCCTCACTTTTCTGTTCCTTGTTTTCCATATTTACATTTTCTTTCTGCACCAAATGGCATTTGTGTGTGTGCGTGCCCATGCGTGTGTGTGTGCATGTGCGTGTGATGTGCATCCACTAGATTTTTTGCAAATTTCAGCTAGGTGGGATATGGTAAGTCCTGCTGTTTTATTGATACATCAGGTAGCTGAATGGTTGGCTGGCCAGGATGTTATCATGGTAATTTTATAAAATATTCTTAGGCTGCTGTTCTCTTCTATGTTAACTCTTTTACCAAGCCACAATGAGGTCCATTTTCCGCATGCTTAATCTCAGCTACATTATCATGCCTTTTGGCCTAATTCATAATAGACAAAAGGTTGATCTCAATTATTGTTCAATTACATTCCTGCTCTTATATGTCTTCTGCCTCTCTTATCAGTTATACTTATTATACATAGAGTATTATACCTATTCTGTAGCAGTATCTTCACATCCCAAACATTCAATAAAGAGCAGGCTGAGGCAGAATGGCAGGTTTGTGTGTCTGTCTTCCCACCTGACCTGACGTGGGCCCTTATCTTTACATCACTGGCATGTAGCACATTCAACACTCACAATGTTGAATGAATGACAGTAGCTTATATTTACTCAGACCCTATGGAATGCCCAGCACTGCCTTCTGTCTTATAAGCTACATGTAGTAAATGATTCTCTCTTCAATAATCTTTGAAAGAGGTATCATTATTATCACCACCATTTTACAGATAGGGAAACTGAGGCACAGAGAAGTTAGATAACTTGTAGAAGATTGGCCTTGGCTTTGATCCATGTAGTCTATCTCCAAAGACTATGCTCCTAACCACTCTATTATAGAATCTTTTTTTCTGCTGAAGAAGATTCACCCTGAGCTAACATTCGTGCCAATCTTCCTCTATTTTGTATGTGGGTCACCACCACAGCATGGCCACCAACAAGCAATGTAGGTCCATGCCTGGGAACCAAATCCAGGCTGCCAAAATGGAGCGCACCGAACTTAACCACTAGCCCATGGGGCCCACCCCTATATCATCATTTTTCAGTTAAAAATAAAAAGGGGGGCATGAAGCAGGGAAGAGAGGCTCACAACTTAACCATTCTTATCAGTGCGAAAAAGGAATACTTACTTATGGTTCCCTTGGTTTGAGATACCAATTAATTCATCCTGCCTTGTGGGTGGCTTTTGCAGCTAAAATATCATTCTTGAAGAGTCTTTAGTTTAACCTTGGTCCTCAGCTTACATTGTCGGGGGAGGTTAGCTGTATTTTAAAAACGGAGGTCAATGACTGAGAATACTAATTTGTATGGCATCTTTCAACTTGGCAGCCCACCCATATGGCGGCCAGGGGATCTGTGGGCAGCCCAGGGCACCCTTCCTGCCTGTTTTTCTCTGGTTGCATCAGAAACATAAAGCAGACAGAGATCGTGCTACTGAAGGCCTGGCAGTGAGCTGCCTATTTTCCTGTGGTGATCTCATTCCAATCACTAACTTGTGCCTAAACCATAAGATTGGGCTACTCTTGCAAATAGGTACAAAAACCAACCAACCAACCAGCTAAACAAAACAGAAACCCTCACTGTGATCAGCAGCGTAGAGCGTGAGAAAGCAGAGGGAATTAGGGCAGCATTCCACTGCCAGGGACACAGCATCATTCACTGGCTGTAAATGCACATCCGACATGAGCCAGGCACTAGTGGTTACTTTCAAGGTGGGTTAACTGTGGGTTCGGATCTAATTACAGCGTCAATCTCTTAAATCCCTTACTGGTGGGTAGGGGTGAAGGGGAGGCAGTGCTACAGGACATTAGATTCTGCCTCCCAGGCTCTGAGTTAATCAGCTTAAATTCCCAAGGTAGACAGGACATCGCGGAGGTCAGTTTGTACTAGAACCAGATTACACTCTGGTGGCTAATAGTTCTGATCAATTACCACCTTCCCCATGAATCTTCTTAATGAGAAACATCACGAGAATGAAAGAAACTGATAGAAGGGATAACTGATAGAACCGTAAAAAATTTATGGAGCAGAAAAAAAAAAGGCATGGTCTCACGATGTTTACTCACTTGGGTTTATCTGTCTGAGTGTGTCCAGTTAATCTGACACTTGGCAGAGTTATTAACCAAGGGCTTGCCTTTCTTGGGATGAGTCTTATTCCAAGCACGACACATCCTACGCTAAGCTGTCTTGCTGGCCTGCGCAATGTGAAAGGGGCAGTGCGGTGATTAGGTGATATGTGACAGGTCCTTTGCATGATTTAAAATTGAAGATGAAACCTAAAAATCACGCATTTCAATGAACTCGAAACATAGCAGAGAACAAAAACAAACAAATAAACTCCTACCAGTGTTTTAAATCCCTGAACTCCACAGTCTGTCAGTGAATTTCCAGGACTGTTGAAGTAGCACAGAAGGAAATTCTGACCCAGAGGAGCTCAGGAGATGCTTGCTCCAGACATCCACCAAACCAGGCTGGCAGCAGTGCACTGCAAATGAAAACTTTATGGAGGATTTGCTCATGACCCTGAAATGTCAGTCTCTAGCTTTGGCCTCTCTCCAAACCTCCAGATGTGCATATTCAACAGCCCACTCAACATCTCCACGTAGATGACTAATAGACACTCCAACTTCATCTGTCCGGAACAGCACTCTTGATTTAGCACTTACCTCACCACCCTTTTTTTCCTCCAAGTCTCCATATCAGTAAATGACACCACCATCCACCCAGTCGCTCAGTCATCCTGTTTCCTTTCTGTGTTTTCCCCCAAACATCCAGCCCTTCGGTAAGTCCTATTGGCACTCCCTTCAGCATACATCTGGAATCTGCACTTCTCTCCATTTCCACTGCCACTATCCCTGGGCCATCATTGTCTCCTCTTTGGGAGGCAACAGTTTCCCTGCTTCCATTCTGGCCACCCTATAGTCCAGTTCCAAAACAACAGTCCCAGTGACCTTGTTAAAAATGTGAATCAGATCATGTTGCTCCTTTGCTTAAAACTCTCCAGTGGTTAGAATAAAGGCCAAACGCTTTACCTGGGACTGTAAGAAGACCTGACCTCATCCCTGCATCTCCTACTGCTTCTCCCCCTTCATTTCCAATCCTTACATGTGGCTGTTTCCATACGGGGAACAGGCCTTGCCATATTCTTGCACGGTTGGCTCCTTCTCATCATTTAGGTCTCAGCTCAATTGGTACCTTCTCATTGAAAACACTCCTTGTACCTGCCAACATCACTTGGCTCTGTTTTCTACAGAGCACGCAACACTCTCTGAAATGATGCTGTTTATTTATTTGTCTGTTTACTTGTTTATTTTTTGCTCCCCACTTCAATGAGAGCTCCATGATGGCTGTTCATTTTTGAATGCCTCAATCCAAGAACAGTGCTGGACCATAGTAGCTGCTTAATGAAAATGAATGAAAAACCTCTCAGGTGCTGGTAGCCCGACAAGAAATGATCTTACAGCATTAGTTAGACTAATTAAATCAATTGGTAAGGAGAAACTTTGTTGGTGTGTAAACATCATGTCATCAAGTTCACTGCTTTTAACTTTCTAGACTAGAGATAGCATTCCTTATGTATCGCTTTTTTTAGGTTTCCAAGAGAAATACCTACGCATTGTTTTGTTGGTACAGGGTGACAAACTTGTAGTTTCCATTCAAGCTTTTTTTCTAAGATGTAAATAACTGTGGGATACCATCTATTTTTCCAGAGATCATGAAATAGCATGAGAAACCCAGAAAATTATTCAAGGTCCTTTGTACTGTTTTAGTCACAATTACTATCTTTTTTCCTAGAAGAAAACTACCTTGAAATATATGAGAAAAAGACAATACCAAATGTCCATTTAAAAATTACACAACTCTAGTTCAATCAAAAACATGTACTGAGTGCCTATTGTGTGCCAGATATTTTTACTGAATTTAATAACACCAGGTGGTGTTATTATTCCCATTCTGAACTGGGACATTAAAGCCCAGCGAGGTTAAGTACTTGGTCAAGGTTACATGGTAGAGAAGCCAGTATTTGAAATCTCTAGCCTACTGTCCTTTCAGCTCTTTCCTTCTGCTTGCTTTAGCACTACAGAATATCTTGATCCTAATTTTTGTTCGCTCCTACAATGGATGAAGGGATAAAACATGGGCTAGGAAGCGGGAGATGGGACACTGTTTCCAGCTGCATCCCCTTGGCTCCCCCAAATGCTGTGTGACCTTTATCAAGCTCTTTCAACTCTTGCGGAGTGAAAAATGACAGTCTTCCTCAAAGGAGTGAGGAAGGTGCAGCTTTGAGGGGAGTGGTGAAAGACCTTCTCTAGTTGTCTTAAGTTCTCACTCTTGTTCAAAACATCAGGTTCTACTAAAGAGTGTACGTGTCATCCTTCAGCCCAACTCTTCTGAGCTGTAGGCTTGTGTATCCCGCTGCTTCTTGGGTATCTCGCCATCTGTGTAACAAACATCTCAAACTTTCTGAGGTCCACAGTAGAACACTGGATTCACCTCCGCCACCCCAACTCTCCCACAAACCGATTTGTCTCCCAGGTTGTCTCACACCAGTACATGGCAACACCCACACCTGGTGGCTCTCGTAAACAACTTCAGCGCCCTCTTTATTCACTCCTCATTCCCCTGGCCCCATATCCATCTATCAGCAGGTCCTGTCACTCTTCTGGAATACATCTTGAAAACGTTCACCTCTCTCTTTCTTTCTAGTCCCTCTACTCTTTTCCAAGCCACCCTCACCTTTCACCTGAACCATGTAATGGCCTCCTCACTCTTCTATTCCTGTTATCCTCAAATCCTGTTTCTATAAAGCAGCAAGATGACTTCTCTTGCTTAAAATCCCCCAGTGGCTCCCCATCGCACTCGGTCTGCAGCCTTGCCGTGGCCCACAGGCCCTGTGTGCTGTAGCCCAGGTGTGTGTACCTCGGGCTCCACAGACCCCCAAGGCATCTGAGGATAGGATTCATGAGATCTGAGATTTTCAGATGGGGGAAAAATAAATCACATCTTTATTTTCACAACCTCTAACTGAAATTTAGCATTTCGTTGAGTTATACAGAAATCTCAGTGGTACTAACAGTACCTGTGACTTTGTCACCAATAGAAACCACAGATATTTCCTATCATATTACAGCTGTAAACATATATCTTGACATAGTGTTACTTCAAAGTTAGTTTTTAGATCTGCCACAAAATGTGTTAACTATAAACTTATAGTTTATAAACTTATAGTTTATATCATAACTTTGTCTTTTAAATATTTTGATAGCTATATTGTAATGTAAATGGATTTCTTTGCATTCCTATGTATTTTATCTTAATCAATTAAAAACATGATCCTGAGCCGGATCCATAGGCTTACAACAGACTGCCAAGGGATCTAGTTCCCTTGACCTCTCATAAAATGCTCCTCGCAGTGTTTTTCCCTATTTCAGAAATACTGAACTGGCCTGCTGCAGAGCCTTTGCAGTGGCTGTTCCTTCTGCCTGAAACTCTTCTTTCCACACCGGTTCCTTCCCATTGGTCACATCTCCGCTTCAATGTCACCTCTTCAAAGACCGTCACAAACCACCACACATTCTCTCACCCAGTCATTCCTCACCACAACAACTTGTTTTATCTTTTATAACATTTTATCGTGATCAGAAATAATTTATTTATTTACTCGTTTATTCTATGTCTTTCTCCCTAGCAGGTAAGTTCTATTAGTACACGACATTCTTCTGGCCACAGTTATATACCCATTTCCTAAAATATTTAATTTGTGTTTGATAAATGTTAGCTGAATACATAAATCCTTCCAAACCAGAGGATTGCTTTGGGTAGAAATCAGATGAGTTTAGCTGAAACATATACATACATACATATGAACATTCACCCTGACTCTTCTGATCAAATATAGTAATTTTTTTTTTGAGGAAGATTAGCCCTCAGCTAACATCTGATGCCAATCCTCCTCTTTTTGCTGAGGAAGATTGGCCTTGAGCTAACATCTGTGCCCATCTTCCTATACTTTATATGTGGGACACCTATCACAGCATGGCTTGACAAGTGGTGTGTAGGTCCGCAGCCGGGATCTGAACCCACGAACCCCAGGCTGCTGTAGTAGAACGTGTGAACTTAACTGCTGTGCCATGGGGCACAGACACAGACCTATTGGTTGCCTGGCATTCACAGCTGTGATTTGGCTGAAGAATAAGTCATACTCAAGGACACCTTGGAGATCTGTGATGCTCCTTGGAGGACTTGGGCCAATAAGCCAATTAATGGGCTATAATGCTCCATAAATATTATATTTGTGTCTGGGACATTATAATTTGGCTCTGGCATTATTTAAACAAATGCTACACACATTCACACCAATAGTTTGAAATTTTCCAAAGATTTGCAGCATAGCAGGACTAGATGTCAAAATAATTTTATATATTCACTTGCAACCTCAGGTATAAGCAACATGGGAATCACTTCTCTCTAATTGTTTTAGATCGTCACTGTGTAGAAGTGATCACAGCCAAATGGAGATTGCTTATCCGAAATATGAGAAGATGCTGCAGAATTATGTGGCATATGTGATCAACATAAAGCCAGAAACAGAAAAAGAGGAGATAAACAACCAAGAGAGGATGGAGAGCAAGAAAACAGAAATTTCCGGAAGAAATTGATAAATGAAATGCACAGTGACAAAACCAGAAATGATTTACTCTGGGAGACAATGGATTCATACTGTGTTGTCTATTACAAACAGGACACAAACAGTAGCTCCCAGTCCCAAGCGCTGCTTCATTTTGGCTCTTGTAGGGCCCCTGGCCCCCCAGTTGGTAAATTTGCTCGCATCTAACACCCTCTCTACTGGCCTGCTGTTGGAGCCCAGGTTTCTGAAGCTTTGAATAATTGCTTCCAGCAGAAGGACAGGATCATGGGGTACAAGGTGCCAGGACACTGTACCAAGTAAGAACCCCAATTTGAACACTGGACAAAAAATGAGAATATGATGAATAACGTGAATAAGGACAATAATTCCTATTTTGATAATTGGGGATGTTCAAAAGAATAGAGAGGGAGAAATCAAACTCAAAACCAGGCCCTCAAAATGGGACCACATTTAAAAATCTGTATCCCTTAGATGTAGCCAGAATGTGCGTATGAAAACTAGCCAAGCAGAGTGTGGTGGAGGGATTTCAATGAACTATGAGACATGTGTAAAACAGGATAAAAGACATTCTCACCAGGGCCACACACTCCAAAGTAAGCAAGAATGGGAACACTCAGAAAGGCGAAAATCTCTGCTAGATGGAAGGACTGTGAGCATAGAGGAAGTTTTAGATTCATAGTCCTTATAGTCCAACGTTTTGCTGCCAGAAAGGACCCCAAATATTTAGGAGGACCTGGCAGACATCCCAGCAATGAATGGATCTGGAGTCTCTCAAGGCTCCCCTCGAGGCAATGGCTTCAGTTCATGAGCTGCAGTGTCTGGTGGTACCTCTTTATTTTTGTCTGAAATTCCCTCCTCAAATTTCAAAGGGATCCCACCAGCGTTCAAGTAATTTGGATCATGTCACGCACTCCATGCTCACACTGTCTAAGCTGTTCATGGTTTTCAAGATTTCAGACATGCCCTTCCTTAGCCTCCTCACATCTAGGTTAAAGTTGCCCTCTTTCTGTCCAAGCCAACCCAGCCCTGTGTTCTTACTGCTCCCCAGCCTTTTTGGGTACCCTTTATTACGTATGGGGCCTAGAATATCAGAATACCAGGCAAAATAAGCCATGGTGTTATACAAGGGGAGGGCAACGTTTTCCATTTTGCTGGCATTACTTCTCTACATTATGTTCAATGTTTGTGGACCTTTTTGCTACAGGTCTCATGGAGCTGTCTTCAGGGAAGACATTCTCAAGGGGTGGGGCCAATAGCTCAGATGACATGGGTCATGACATCAGGGACTGGCATTTACAGAAGGGCAGGCAGGAGACCGGCTGGATGAACACAGCACTGTCGGTGGGAAACTCTACTCCAACTGGAGACACACATACATTTTTAGCTTGAGTGATCCTGAGACATGTGCCCCCACATGTGTCCCCAAGGCAGAACCAAGCCAACCATGGAGGAACCCAAGTTAATAACCAGCCCAGTGCTGTATATGTGCATAACTGAATCACTAGCTCTCTCTTCAAGACAGCAAATCATATCTACCGTTGTGGTATCCACTGAATTATAATGTGGCTTCCTCACAGAGGTGGGAATTTGTAGTAAAGTGTTGAGAAGTTTTCCTTACTTTTCAAGTTTACAACATTTTAAGGGTGCAGGAGACACTTTTGGAAAATCTATGTGTTCCTTTGCAGTTTACATAACTATCTTTCTAGACTGGGGGTCCTTGACCTAGGGTGTAGGGCTTCAGAAAACCTGTGACTTCTTTGAAACTATATTTGAATACTGGATGTCTGCGCATTTCAGGGGAGAGAGTTCAAGCTTTTTTTTTCATGATTTTTTTAATCAAATATATTTGACACACATCATTGTGTAAATTTAAGATGTGCAATAAGTTAATTTGATACATTTATATATTTTTTGTAATATGACTGCAATTGTAGCAATACTTGGCACCTCTATCACAGTACCTAGGTATGCTTTCTTTTTATTGGTTGGAATAATTAAGTTCTAGTCTCTTAGCAGGTTTGATGATTATAGTACAATATAGTTGTCTACATTCACTGTAAGAGTTCAAGCTTTTATCAGATTCTCAAACCCCTCTGAGGGGAAGTAGCCCTGTTCCAGTGCATTTTCCTAAATTGTCTTAAGACACACCTTGGTCCAGTTAAGTTTCTGAGGTTTGATGAATTTAAGAATATGGGCAGTAGGATTTGATTGCCTTCTGAGAATCCATCATTTCTTCCTAGAATTTGGTTATAAAAACATCAACCTAGGGCACAATATGTGATATTAAAAAAATTAATTGTATAGTTGTAGGGCAGCAGAATCAAGAATGCAACCAAATTAAATTAATGGGCTTAAGGAAGAAAAGGACTCTTCCTGAGCAAAGATGGCAAAATTCAGGCAATATAAAAAAATCAATGCACAAATGATTTCTATACAATAAAAGACTAAAAAATGAACAAGGTTTCATCACATAAACTGTGGTAGGGTAAAGCAAAACTTTTAAGGGAAAAAACCATCAACATCTCTGTGCCAGTTTCCTCCTTTCTATGATGGAGATGGTCGTACATACAAATAGTAGAATGTTCAAGTGCCTAGAACAGTGATGCAGGGTAAGGACTCAGTAAATGAGTAGGAGGAGAAGCAGTGTATTAAGGTGAATAGGATGTCGAAAAGGAATCAAAAATAAATGAAATTATAGCAAGGAAGGTTAAGATACATTTTCTATAAAATCTGAGACTAGACCTTGCAAACATTTTGCTAAGTGAAGGAAGCCAGTCACAAAGGACACCATACTGTAGGGCTCCATTTACAGGAAATGTCCAGAGTAGGTAAATCCACAGAGATATAAAATAGATCCGTGGTTGCCTAGGGCTGGAGGAGGGGCCAGGGGCCAGGGGCCAGGACAGGAGGACTGGAGAGTGAAGGCTGAAGTGTGTGAGGTTTCCTTTTAGGGTGATGAAAATGTTCTAAAATTGATTGTGGTGATGATTACACAGCTCTGTGAATATGCTAAATGTCACTGAATTATACACTCTAAATGAGTGAACTGTATGGTATGGGAATTATATCTCAATAAAGCTGTTTAAAAAAATCTGAGACTGAAAGATCCCCTTGGGAAAAGTAATAAGAAGTGTCCTGTAGATTCCCCTAAAGAATCCTCCATCTTGCATGAAGTCTGGTTTGTAGATATTTCCTTTTGCCTTGCCACATCTTCATCTAATAGGGCTATTTTTCAGGTATACTATCTGTCTGGTACGTCTTACAAACAGCTGAAAATGTGTATATTTTGACGAATGAATGACTTCTGGGTTTCAACATTAAAGTCATAGATTTTAAGCAGATGAGCCGGTGTTTAGAAAAATATTAGAGACATGTTATTACCTCCATCTCTCATACCTTTTCTCCCATCATCTACCAGCTTTAACGCAAACAGTAAGCCTTTGGGAGCGGGTAAATTGTTAGGGGCAGCTGCATTATTTTCTAGGATGGTGAATATTTTCCCTTCATCTCCCAATTTCTGCTTTTACTGATTCTTCCCAGATATAAGTCCTTAAATGTCTATAAATTCTATTTTACAACTTTCCTGCTGCTCCTACCTGCCAGCATTTTATATATATTAGCCATTTTCCCTCAGAGCCCTAAAAGATTTTGAACCTCATCATTTATTCCAACTTTCTGTTTCTAATAGCATTGCTGGAGGTGACGCAGTGATAAAATAATGAATAGAAAATACTTCCTTTTCTTCTTTTAATCTGACCTCAATCTTCACAAACAGATCTTTGCACATTTTCATAAGTGGCATACTGAAGAATTAAGCCCATTTTTTGGTATTCTAAACTAAAATCTTCAAAAGCACTTTTTTCTCTTTCATGTTATACACACATAAACGTAACTTTCCTCTCGCATATCCATCACAGTGTAAATCCACACCTCTAACTCTGTAATAATGGATTGCAAAGAAACAGTTTTATCCCAGACAATTTCACAAGGTGCCTATCTCTTCGAGAATGAAGGCAGGCAGTGCTGAGGCACAGCACAGAAATACGCATTCAGTGAAAAAGGGAGGAGGCAAGCAAAGCCACAAGGCCCAATGGGGTCTTTCTTAGCTTTTTCCAAATCTGCTGCACCTGTCAAGAAAGTGATGGAAAGAATTGAGGCAATTATACAAATAATTCAAGAGAAAAGCCAGTGTTTTCCTTCATGAGTTGTAAAACCAGTTTTACTAATCTGAATGATCTAGATGACAGTCTTGAAAGAAATTGACTTCACAAGTGTGCACAAACATATATAGTGATTAACGTTTGTAACTGTTTGTGAAAGGCTCTTAGCAATTTTGAGTTTGCCAGACTTTCTAATAACATCTCTCCTTTAGCAGCAATCTCAGAAGAACTGGTGACATAATGACTTGGTAAAATGAAGACTCAAATGCAGAGAAAGAGCAACTAGATGAGAGGAGAAAAAGAAAGGGTATGTAAAGTCTCTTGGAGCAAGAATGACTTTTCTGGCTTCTAATAGGGTGGTGAGTCTAAGAGCTTTGCTTCCCAACTAGACTAGGGTGTAAAGAAGCACAGAGAAGAAATGCCATTCCACTATCTCCGCACTCAATCTGGGGCAGCTCAAGTTTTCTTTTCTTTTTTTTTAAATGGACCTTATTTTTTAGAGCAATTTTAGGTTCACAGTAATATTGAGTGCAAAGGACAGAGAGTTCTCATACACCTGCATACGCCCCTACACATGCCTAGCCTTCCCCATTATCAACATCCCCCACCAGAGCGGTACATTTGTCACAATCAATGAACCTACTCTGACATATCATTATCACCCAGAGGCCATAGTTTACATTAGGGTTCACTCTTAGTGTTGTACATTCTGTGGGTTTGGGCAAATGTATGACATGTGTCCACCATTATGGCACTGCATGGAATAGGTTCACTGCCCTAAAAACCCTCTGTACTCTGCCTAGCCATCCCTCCCTCCCCACCAACAGCTCTGGATTCAATAGATGAATTCAATGTCAAGAGGGAACCAGGGCTCTAATCATCACTTTTTTTCATTTTTCCCTTTCCGAAGCACATCTGGTCCCCTAGAAAGGCTATTGGCTATTGGTAAAGAAGCTCGCACTTCTGTGTCCTTGCACGTGTGTGTATCAATGAGCAAGTGAAAGAAAGTACTTTTGAGCCAGGAAGGAAGAACCCAGGTCTGGTAGAACGAGCTTGACCAAGGAGCCAGAGAGACCTGGGTTCTTCTTCTGCCTTCTCCACTTAGTAGCCCTGTGGCAGAAAGTATTTCAGATCTCTGGAGACTGACTTAACTAATACCTCAGAGTCTCAGCTTCGTTATCTATAAAATGGGATACTATCCATTTTCGGGATACCTGAGACACTCAAATAAGACGGTTAAAAAAAGCACATAACATGTAGTATTTCCTCTTTGCCTAGGAAATGGGTAAATAAGAAGAAAAAAAACTTTGAGGTGTGAACGTCTTAGGGATACAAATAGATGGACTTGCAGTGAAATTAACTAATGCCACTGGATTGGAGTGTCACATCAAGATCTGCACCTCTTCTGGAAAACGAAGTTCTCAGCACAGCCGGGCACAGCAGGGTGTTATTCAATGAATAAACGACCACTGGTCTCCCACTGCCTAACTGAAGATACTGCTCCACTTTGCTCATTCGAATACAATTGTCCATTAGACAGCATTTAACCATAATCATGTACTGCTCACAATATTTCACACCATTATTTGTTTAAAAATGTGTATTCTTTCCTTGGAGTTTAAAGTGTCAGTTGTTGACACTAAATACTGAAGAAGCAAGAGGTGGGCTGGCAGAAGGCCTCAGCGGGGAGTTTTATGCACAGTCTAAAACTCTGCCTCTGAAATCTGCACCAGGGCTTCTGCGATTCAACCCGGCCCCCTACACCTACACAAGGTGGGCCCTGCGAGCTAATTGTGCCTTGTTATTTCAGCAGGACTTAGAAGAGAGATGATTACCAGTGGTGGTCATTCAGTAACATTTCACCGCTCCCCTATCAGACTCCCCTTTACCAAGCTCTCCCACCAGCTGCCCAGGGGCACTTTCACCTTCACCCCGCACCCCAGCTCCCATGTAGTAACTTCTAATTGTCTGCCCTTCAAAGAAGTGGACCCTTTGGTGGCCAACACTAGCTGTACTATTTGTTCTTACATTTGGAGTTAGCTCAAAGGGTCCGAAATCTTTCAGGATTATTTGTCTCATTTTGTTTCCTTCCTCTTATTCTTGGCCCAGATGTGCTTAAGGAAAACTTGGCTGAATTTTCTCCTATATTTGAGACTACTGAGGATGAATTAGTGAAGACTACAGACATTTTCTCTCTGACCCCTACCCCCCTGCCCGCCCAGAGGCTGTTCTTTAAAAGGTACATTGCTCACAAAATGCTAAAATTTGTTAATTCTAGGCGGTGGATACACACCTGTTTGATATATGATTCTTTGTCCTCCTCTGTAGTTTTTAAAACATAGAATAATTAAAATAAAAAAGTTGTGTGAAACAGCTCTTGGTGTTTTGCATGGACGTGTCTCCACTCCTAGAGGTCCTCAGATGGGGAGAGGTGGCAGGCAGCGGCGAGGACTGAGAACGTGGATTCTAATTTGTATTTCAACCCAAGTGCTCTGCAAGTATCAACACAATTTAAAATAATAGAATCTGATCATGTAATTCTTTTATGCAAGGAACTGGATTTCCCCTCCAAATTAATCCTTTACCAGCAGTGGATGGGCTGGGAACACAGGCACCGGGCAGTTAGCTCACTTCCATCTGGCATGCCCATGTGAACACTTCGGTTGGCTTGCTTTTTTAATGAAGTGATTTTTAATGAAGCAAGCTGTGAATTTAATAGATACCCTAAAACAGCTTCTTTGTAACTAAGCTTTAAGTAACGAAGCAACTGCCAAATTAGCCACCAAAACCAAGAGAAAAATTCAAGACTGAACAACTCAGGATCAAGGCTTCCTGGACTTCGGTCATCAGGCACGTCATCTCAACTGCTGGCACAGACGATGGAGACGCAAGTCCATGTGGAGGCTGGTGGCCTGCTCAGCGACCTTATCAGAGGTCAAGGAAGTGCTTGGCCAAGACTCAGGCACACTGCAAGTGCGAGGTATTTGAACCCTTGTTATTCTCACCACTGTCCACGCTAGTGCACTGTCTCCTATTTTGAACCAGCTATTTCAGCTCATTTAGAACGTGCGGACAATATGAGGGAGATCATTAGGTTCAGTCTATACTCCCCTGAAAGGAAGATGTTGGTAGAAAGAAATGCTCATAGTATTAGGGAATTCTTTTAAAGGTGGGAGAAATCACCCAATTCTGGAACCTCAAATGTAAACAGCAGGCAGGTAATGTAAGAGGGTGAAGAGGGCTGGGTGGGTGTGAGCAAAAGGCAAGGCCTGGGGGAACTGGAGAGGGCATGTCCCACCTGAAGGCATTCAAATAAAAAAAATGTTAATTCAATAAAGCACACCTGTGTGCATGGACGTGGTTGCCAGTTTTCGTGTTCTGCTTTATTTTACTGGTGGGAAAGCTAACGCATAAGGAGGAGAAATGAGCTGTTCAGGTTCTCACTGCAGGTTGTGGGCAGCTAGGACAGAAATCCGAGGCTCCCTGCGGCCAGCCAGTGCAGGTTGTAGTACAGTTATAGAACAGCGGCCACAATCGTGATGTTAAGCCCTGCTTGGAGAAGTCACTGGCACAGATTTCACTCAGTGGGAGGGTCTTTGTTCTGTTACTCATTAAATAGACACAAAGTCCCTCAACACACTCCCTTTTCTGGTACTTGACATCTCCTTTGTCCTTCAGGCTACAACTCCTCACTCTGCTTTGTGGGGCCTTAGCCTTGCCTGAAGCTAGCGGGAGAGTGGCCTCAGGGAGATGGGGCTGGAAAGGAGGGGCTACTCAGGCCAAGGTGGCAGAGCAGGAAGAACCTGTGCTGGCCGCCCTTGAGTTCAGGTGGCAGTCTGTGGTGGACATGAGAGCGGACTCCTGGTGGATTCAACCAGATCCCTCCCACATTCCCTTTCACAGACGCTGGGGTGTGGCCTTCTCTTCTGTTTTGTGCCCCCAGAACACTGCATGGAGTATGAGAGAGAAGCCCCAGTGCAGCGCCAGGAGACCTTCTTATTGCTTCCTCCCTGAGGGATCGTGATCTAACACAACCACTGGAAACCTGTTCCTTCTACCAATTGCAATTGGGTAATTATGATCCTTAACCCCTAAGACTATGGTGAAGTGTTTCGTGTCTGCTTGCGCAGTGCTTGGATTCCTAAGAGCTTGACAAATGCAGGCGGGGCCTGAACCTTTCCACAGTGGCCTGGTCTGCGCCACCCCCAACCACACTTCTCTACCTCAGGCCAGTGTTCCCCACCAAGCCCTGAAGTGAACATTTTCTCCTCACCGGTTACAGTGCATCCAGGGCTCCTGCCACCTGCCAGTCCTCAAAACCTGACTGAGGACTGATAACAGGCAGGGGGTGGGGGGGGGGGGGAAGCTAGGATTTGTCAGAATCATTGCATTTGTTGTGTGGCTCAAAGCAGTGTTGCTAGTTTGTATTATATAAGCCTTTGTCCAACTGTGTCCGTCTTGAATTCTAAGGGCAAGGGGTCAGTTTCTTTGATTTACAACCATAGGCCAAAAATATAATACATGGTTTGCCACTGGGGGAGGCGAGGTTCTCCATTCATCCATTTATTTAATGCACAGTCCCTTCTTGATTGCCTATCACTTGCTGTGATTATGGTCTAGCTACGTTACTCACTGGGCTGCGAGAGCTTGCCCACCTTCCTTCAAGGAATGGAACAGGTGGTCCTTATGCCTGGGAAGCTCCTCAAATCAGTTCATATCCCCTATGGTGTCATTCACTAGTTACCCCAATGCTATAAGGGTTTGCAGATGAAAATGAATGCTCTGAAACCAAAAGCTCACATTTTTCCTTAAATGAACATATTAAAAATCAAAACAAAACAAACCCCACTATAATAAGAGTTGAGCCATGTCTCCACCTAGGTCTGATATATACATATTAGGGGGGTGTAAGTGATGTCTTAAATTGATCAAATAGCAAGTGCCAAGGTACGAAGCGGTTTCTCCACAGCAGTTCAATTCTGCTCCCTGATGTGCAGCTGGAGATTACACTGAATCCAGGGCACACTTTAAAACTATTTTCCTCCAGTGACTTAAAAAACCATAAATAAAAAGTTTGAAAAAAATCCTTAATCCTCATCTCCCTAGCTTTACATCCCATTATTCCGAGTAACTGATATGTGTGAAAACACTCTCAGTTTCAATTTAGCTAAACCTCTGACTCCAGGGAACAGCTTTTAAATTGTTCATACAATTCTTATCAATCAGCTGGGTCTGTGTAAAGGAAATAGGAATCTAGAAACGCAAGCACTCCCTCTGTGAAAAATCACTAGGTCTCCTGATCAGAGGAAGATCAGATTCTAGGAAGCCTTTCCTCCAGATTTCGACCATTTCCTGGCTGCTTCATTTTAATCACGACATTGTTGAGCTGATCTATTACTTCACAAATTTCCCGGGCAAGAGTGGGTGTTATTGATGCACGTCTTAGGAAAGCCCAGTGGCAAGTATTCCCATCATTAGAAACTGATGTTGCAAGCATGCTATGTGCACATAGTAAGACGGGCTTCCTTGGCCAACTGCTCCATCAGATATGCAATCATGGCAATGGGCCGGAGTCAAGGCACATACTTTTGGGAACAAATCACGGTATTTTTATTGGTTTGCTGTATTTTGCCCTTATAAAAAAATGGCATCAGAGTTCAAGTTACAGAGAGAAATGAGGAAAACTGGAAATGAGCAGGAAGGAGACCATAAAACCACTCAGACTGGTCATTCACTGCATCTTTTTATGGTTAGTGGATGTCTATTTACTGCATTCTACTAGGTCATTATTCTTGGGAATAATTCATCTGACAAATTGCCACTGGGTACATTTTCCATCATCAATAAAAAATATGTAGCTTTCATGAGAAGTGCTAGCTGTGGAGGGATGAAACGTATGTGTATTATATCTGCTCTTCCTTTTTGCTATGTACAGTTTGAATACTTTCCTTTCAAACTTTACCTGATTGGACACAGACCTTATGAGATTTATATTAGCTGGACTATAGAGGAAATTCACCAACATCTGAATAAACTAGATGACTGCAGTGTAGCTCTCGGGTTGAAACTAGCTCTCTCATTCTACTGGCTTACTTAAATCAAGAAAATATTTAAGGTATAAAATTGGCAAGGAACTTACCAAAAGAGACTAAAAGATATAGGTAGGTAGGTAAGTAGATACACACACACACACACAATCAACTTATTGAGGTATAAATTACATACCATACAATGTACTCATCTGGAGAGTAGAATGCATTTTTTTTGGACAAGATCTTTAGCCTTGGACCTTTAGCCTTATAGAGCCTAATAGAGACCAAAGATATCAGGGAGAGCTCCTAGCTCACCCTCCTCCATACTGCAGCTCAGAAAACTGAGCCACGCCACCCAAATGGACAGTGGTAAAGTAGGGAGGTGATGCTCAGTTTGGAGGTGCTAATAAAAACCAGCCCACTGATTTGGCCATTATGAATAGGAACTCATCCTTTTGCGGGGAGGGAGAGGAAAGACTTTGTGTTGTAGCCTGTGTACAGACAACAACCCTGGGTTCCTGAACAATTGAAAATGAACACCCAACTGCTGGCTGCAGAGTGCAGGAAAGGAAGCGAGGGGGAAGTGTCTTTGGAACAGGGGTGTTAAGCAGGATGAAGGGCTATGCTGAATGAAGGGCAGAGAGAGTTTACCGAAGAGCGGGAGTCTGAGGTGTTAAAGTAATTCCAACCAATGTTAACGTCTGGAGGCTGATACATAATTTATAAATGACTTTTCAACTGCTTCCTCTAGCAACAGGAGCTGTTATTATCACATCGATTTTCAAATTAAACATTATGGAATTTTCTTGCTTTAATGAGAAGGCAGATCCAACTGGTAAATAAAGTAATGATTAAAGCAATTAAAAGAGTGAAAATGAGAAATGAAGTAACAATACTCCTATTGCTTAACCCAAATAGGCAGGTTTTGCTGATTTACTAAAAAGATTCATGTTTATCTTGAGGTAAACATATTGAGAAGCAATGCTCACTAGGAATAAACCTGCCCTTTGGGAAGAGAGGAAAAGTCAATTAATAATGTTATTTGTTTAAAAATCTGTGTGCACCTGGGTCTCATTTGTCCTCCAGCTGAGAAACCAAAGACAACTTCTTTTTATTGCTTGTGGTCAAACAGCAAGTTCATCTCGCCATGGGATGATCAAACGGCCAGCCTCCCCCGGCTTGAGGAGGTTTGCCTTTCACTTTCAACTTGTTCAATCATCATTAACTCTGAAAAATGTCACATTCCATTTGTGCAATGAAAATTTCACCACCGGTGACCGTTTGGGTGAAGTTTTTGTAGGCGAGGCCCTAAATCTTGCAGAGCACCTCACACATTCTCAAGGTCATTTGCCTCGTTTCCTTGTTTAATGACAGTTGACAACGGTCCTGGAGTCTGTCTGCGGCCCAACAGAGGCAACTTTGAAGAAACCTCTCTGGGACAGAAAGGATTCACTGAGTGATTCGGCACATGCGTGTCATTGGAGAAAAACTAAGCTGTGTGCAAGTGTGTGTACGTGTGTGTTTGCACTTGTGTGCATGCACACATACACACCCTCCTTTGTTATATATTATGCACACATGCACTGGGGTTTTTACCAAGCAAAAGTCAAAATCTTTACTCGGGAGATCTAGGAAAGAAGACCACTGGATGCAGCCCATCTGAAGCAGGGTTTCCTTACTCTGGGATGCCAGCCTCCCTGAAGAAGCTGCAATATCAACTTGGGGAGGTTCCAAAAAGTTTCCGGAAAGGAGAAATAGGCTTCTTTTTAACTTTTGCTATTGGGCTTGAGAAATCTTCATCTCCTTTGTTTATCATTTAATTCTATTTCCCCCTCTGCAGAAAGTTCTGGAATGTAAATCCCAGTGAGTGTGGCATAGGGCCAACTCTCTGATGGGCTCTACAAATGTGAATTTCTGAAAGTTGATGTCAAGCAGCAAGACAGCTAAATTAAGAGGTCACTTGATCCAGAGTCTTAAAAAAAGCACAGATTGGGGCAAGTCAAATTAATTTTGTGCCACTTGGCAAGCAAGTCATAGCTAAAACAGGCCCCAGTTATAGGTCCTGATTAAATTTTCCAGGTCAGAACCAAGGGAATGTATATACAGAGCTCTCCAGAGCCTCAGTGCCAAGGCGTTAATACACTGTTTTAAATAGTCTCCACGAAGGGGGTCTTGATTTCCGTCTCTAGTTTAAGGCCAAAGTTTCACTGGGTCAGCTGCTGAAATAAGGAGAGGGTTACCAGCAGGTCTAGATTATAGGCACAATGTCTTGGTCTCTTTCAACTAGCTCTGGCTCATAATATATTAGAATACTTATTGTTGCCAATATCCAATTTTTAATTGAGTAGTAGAAGTGGAGGGTAGGAGAAGGGGCAAAAATGATCAAACGATTTTTTCCAACACTCCCAGCAAATACAAGACCAGACCCTGGGTCTAAATAAGAGTCTTGTGGCTCCTAAAACATGAAAGAGAACGTCCTGCCATTTTAATGGCTGGGTTGACAGCACCATTTTTAAGTAAAGAGGTTCCAATACTAGGTTATTAGGTGAAAAAAGCTTGTGTATAACTTCTGAGGAGATTTTTTTTTAATTCAAATACTTGCCCATGTACCTGGTATTCTAAGTGCTTTATAAATATTAGCTCATTTAATTCTCATAGTAATTCCAAGAGGTGAAATAACTTCCCTAAGGTCACAGAACTATTCAAACCCAGGAAGTCTGGGTCTACATCCATTATACTATTCAGCTATATTTTTTCATAAAGAAAAATATTTTCAGAATATGCAACCCAAATGCCCATTTGTCTGTTGTTTCAAGATGGGCAGATGGTGCGCAAAGAGAAAAGTGTTTATCCGTTTGCTCCACTTCATAGGGATGTAAAACTGGAGATCAGGTCTCTGAACTTCCCCTTTCTCCTCACGTGGATTTCTTCTGCTCTCTTCTACCTCGTGGAGGTCACCTTTCTACTGCTGGCTCCTGGGTGAGCTAGGTGAGTGCTCTGTCTGTGTCACGCATACGCATACGCACACACACATACACACACGCTCTCACACAGAGCTATTACTGTGCTTCAGTGACGCTGCACAGGGTTTGTGATCCGGGCATAAAAGCAGACATCATTTGCTCATTAGAGCTAAGTTTTCAGGACATGCCCCAATTACTGACCTCCACTAACGGCCTGGGTTTGCGCTCGACTGCAAACCTGAAGTGGCAGAGTTCACAGTAGCTGGTGTTTGAGGACGACAGCCAGTGCTCCAGGCAGCTCCGGTGAATTGTCCCCAAGGTGCCCGTACATTCACATGGAGAGAGCAAGTCCTCTTGGCTGCTGCCCTCGTGGCAGATCCTGCACATTGGCCGGTCATTGAAGGGGCTGCAAGAGAAGGAGGGGCACCTGCTGGTCACTGGGCTGGAAACCACTGCCAAATGGATGGTCCTCTGGCTCTGTGTCCTTTGGACCCTCCGCAGTGCAACCACTCAGAATAGACACCTGCTTTAAAACTCTACATCCACACTCACATTCAGCAGTGGGGGCCAATGCCGGGGTCCTTGGGTGTCTATTTTTCCCGATACAAAGAAATAGGGGGTAGCCAAGAGCAAAGTAGCTGGGTGTGGTCCAGGATCAAAAGTGAGTGAAAATGAGCAGCGTGTTATTTTTGCCCTGGACCTAGATGTAGTTCAGGCAAACTACCAATCAAAAATAAAAACCATCCCTCACCATTAAGAACAGAAATTGTTTTGAAATGACACCAACTGTAGTTTCTAGACAAATTGCATCTTTCGAACCAGGTCAGGACACTTTTGAACACTCAGAGGTTCCTTTCAATAGGGTGGGAGAATGAGAGGAGGGATGTTAACTGGCAGCCAACCCTGAAGCTGCCACACAGAACTGCAGTCTGAGCCAGGGCACAAAGCTGAGTGGCAGGTCTGTCCCTTGAGCTTTCCTAGGATGCTCTCTGGGACGCTAAGGACACTAACCTGAAAGCCAGTATGTCCTACCAAGGTGGCCTCCATCTGGAGTTCTGCCTTTAAAATTTGGAAAAACCATTCCTGCACATTTTGTGAAGGCACACAGCATAGTGGTTCATGAGGCAGGCTCTGGAGTCCAGCTGCCTGGGTTCGAATCTCAAGCCTGCTGCTTACCAGCTCGCTAACTTTGGGCAAGTAACGTGATCTCTCTGTACTTTAGTTTCTTCATGTCTAAAACGGACACAAAGAAGAGTGCCTTCCTCATATGGTCACTATGAAGATGAGAAAAGATGGTCCGGATTAGAAGTTTAGAACAGGGAACAACATGTAGTAAATGCCTAGTTAATGCTAACTACTTTTACACGTAGAAAAACTCAGGTCAGGGAAAATCAAATAACATGGCCCTCATCATATAAGTCAGTGGCCAATGGAAGGCTCAAACTAAGATGGCCTCACTTCTCAATGGATATTGTGCCCTGCAAGAGGACTATCCCTCTCTGATCAATGCCATCTTATATTGCTCGAGCTGTCCTTTATTGGGCATGAGATTTTAAAATATGTCATCATTGTATGTGCCAACTCAAGAACCAGGCTCTTTATCCACCTTCCCCTGCCTCTTCCCATCTCCCAAAGATGACTCATGCCCACTACTCTCTTTGACACCACATTTGGTCCAAATGGAAATGCTGCTGTTTCCCAAAGGCCTTTCTGGTGATGATCTTGGGAATGAGTGGAGGCGAAAAGGGGATTGAAAGAGCAAAAGATCTCCTTCCAACTTGCCCAAAAGACCCACTCATGCTCCGGGGCGGGAAAAGGAAGTTTCAAGAGTTGGGTTTTTTCTCTCATTATTCCTGGCCTCCTTCATTCACACTTAGCCAAATGCATGTAAAACTCTCAAACTTCTGGTTTACGTTTCTGCGTGGTAGGAGGACAAGTAAAAATGCCTGATAAACACACATGCATGCCGGCTCACAGCTCTCAGTCATTTCAGCTCTGCAGCCTCTTCTTCCTGATCAAATGAAGTGTTTGACAGCTGCAAGGGTGATGGGCACACATGCAGTTATCTGTCTCAGTTCACGGAGAAGCAATGATGCTCACTGCCTCACTGTATTCTGAGTCCTAACTAATTGTTAGGAGCTTTTTAAGAGGTGGAAAAATACATACAGTACTGACTTTTCTTCTATTTCTTCCCTTTGCAATAGCTGCACAGATTGTAAGTAGAAGGCACATGGACAATGTTTACAACATACGTGGGTATGTGAGGCCATGTCTGGTGGCTACCACGTCCAGGCTGGGGGCAACAGCAAATGCTGTGATGCCACCAGTAGTCTTGCTGCAGGTGCATGTATGGATTTGTGGGCCGAGGAGCTGGCTGAATTGCTCAGACCAAGGTAAGTGGTCAAGGCGTGAGTGACTGACCCTAAGTTTCAGGGTCAGAAGTGTCAGTGCTGATATCTGGGGGCAAGTCCAGTGTGATACACATTTTACATTCGTAGGTCAAAGTCCCACTTACCCATTCTGAAAGGAAGCTGGAGAAGCCACGGAGTGCTTAATGGCTGGGCAGCCTGTAGCTCTCAGTCTGCCATTGGGCAGCTACAGTCCAGGAGGAGACCTCCAGAGACAAAGTGTGGCCTGGATGAGCTGTCTCCAGGCTGTTCAGAGCCTTCAGCCAGGCTTTGGTTCATCACTCAGGGAAGACAAGCTGGGGGGGTTTTAACAATCGTACTTCATAGGGCAGGGTGTATGTGAAGGATCAGGGGTGGGGCTCATGGCGAGTGAAGGAGGGGGCAACAGAAGAGGCCCCCAAGTGGGGATGTGCCAGGGAAGAGACTCGCCCGGGAAGTCACCCTGGGCAGTGTTCCCATCAGGTGGCGCTGATTAGCATGCACACCAGGAATGTCACTTCAAAAGTTTTCCCCACAAATCCAATCACTTTAAATCAGGTGCTTCCTTCATTCTACTCTAACAAAGGGCTACTTTGTTAGCGCCTGGAGACAACAAGGGTGTAATTACCGTCACAATGTCAAAATAACAAATGTAAAGCAAGCGACCCTGCGTCTTGTGGGATCCTTCCCCGCCTGGCTCTCTGCACGTGTGACTTTAAGTGGAAAACTCAACAATTTTAGCTTTACATCCCATTGCTATAGAAACGACAATGACGGAACTTGTGGAGTCTTTTTTTTCCTCCAGCATCTCCTCTCACCTGACACAAAGACCTGAGCACTAATTACATTCCCTTTAGCATTTTCCCTCTGACAGAGAGTTCTCCGGATCAATTACGGATTCATTTATTTTAATGGTGGTACTACCTCTGGGTGGCAAGAGTCCGCACTACTGTTGACAGCAGCTGCCCGTCCTTGGCTGAAACTTGCATGACATACTGTGGCTGCCCATTCACTAGGCTGCCACAATCCTCCACGGTCTTCACCACGGGCGCAGCCGAGCTGGTGCAGTCTGGCAGCACTTCGGGCAGGTGACTGCAGCGGCTGGTTGTCATGGTAACAGACAGCAATTACTCTGCTAATGGCTTCCACATTCATACAGGATTTCCATCTAAGAGAGATCAGAAAACAGTTTATTTGGGCAGGGTGGTTAATAGAAAATGGAGAATTACAGGCCACCAACATCATGTCATTATTTAATATAAATAACAGGGTTGGCCTAGACATGGCACATTATCTTGTTACTGCTTAATACGCGCGCATGCACACACACATCCCACAAGAAACAGTGGATGTGGTTATGAACAAGACAGCAAGCGTGTGGGTGTACATAAACATTTAGGATCCCCGCTCTTGGAGAGGGGAGGGGATGGTGGCTCTGAAGCCAGATCTGCAGAGAAGATAAGCGGTTCTCCCGTTCTGTGTCAGAGAAGCAATAAGTCTTTGATGACACTCTCTAAAAGTTACTAGAATCATTATTAAAACTGTTCACAAGTATTTTTTCTTGTAAGCAATTTATTTTCCATGCAGCTTCATTCTGGGATATTAAGATTTAAAAAAGAGAGGGAAAGAAAGAAAAAAAGAAAAACAAATTTGGCCAAGTAGCACCTTCTAGGACAATATTGGCCAAGCACAAATCATTCAATTTATGTACCACCTTTCTGACTTTTGCCATACCTGTGTCCCATAAGCCAATTATCTACTTAATATGTCTTGAAAATTAACTTCTTTTAAAAACTTAACCTATCTTATCATTGTCTTAAATAAAGTTATTCAGAAAATGATGAGTTTGATGAGCTTGTTATATTTTTTCCTAATGACATTACAATAAATACAGTAGAGGACACCGCATCATCACTGGAGAACACTGGAAAAGGCAAGAAAGTGATGAGATCTCTACCACCTACTAAAAATAATCCACTCTTACTAAGGGCCTTACTTCCCTGACACATAATCTATCATATAGATTGCAAGGAATTCTGTTCCTGATCTGTGTACTACAGGCTTGAATTTGACCTCAAGTTCAAAGTATTCAGAACTACTGGAGTGAGGAACCCCACTGCATCCAATAATAGGTCTGCATATGATGCATAAGAAATAGAAGCTTTTACAGAAACTTGCAGGAGGAATTATTTATGTTTAACGGGGAGAAGATACAGTTTCATAGCCCATAAGGGCAGTTTCTGCCCTTGCTCACCTCAAGCTCCTGAGCCGGACACAGCCTGGGCTCGGGAGACAGTGGCAGGATTGGCTGATGGACTGAATTCATGTCAATGACCAGTCTGAGTGGTCAAGGACCCGAGTCCAAATAAATCTGTCCCCCAACCCCATCAGGATTTTTGGAATTCCTCAAAGGGTTGTTTTCTCCCAGATATTTGTCTCTGCTTATTACATTTTACTTGACTCCTACTGGTCTGGGAAACAGGATCTTCCCAACTTCCAGAACAATGTGCATTAACTGGACATTCTCAGGATGAGAATGTAGTGTTTCCAGATGAACTTGAGCTGACACTGTCCCTCCCAATAAACACATATCAGAAGGGCTGACTGTCCAAGATAATTGGATGGGAACGGAATCCCCTCCTTGCTGCTGAGGTGTCTGGCTGGCCTTGTTCCAGCATGCTCCCTTTCCGGTCCTCCCTGGCTGCCACAAGTCCTCTCATGGTCTGCACCCTGGCCCCTCCCAGAGCCCTTTGGAACGCAGCAGGGGCAGAGGCAGGGCTGCCCCTTCCATGCCAATGTCACGACTCTGGTGGGCTTCTCAACCACCAGGTACTGAGCATTCAAGGAACACAGTCGGATAATTAGCTGGCACCGTTTTGCTTTTTAAATAGAATTTGCTGCTTTTTTTAACACTGCAAAAGCAAGAAGTATATGTTACAGAAGGTACAGACAAGCACTAAGAAAACAATAAAACTCACACATCATTCCACCACTTGGATAACAAGTGGTGGATATCTTTTTAATTTTTGGCAGGGTTGGCAGGGAGGAGCTGATTTGTAGCTGGGGCCAGATAGCTTTTCTTTTTTTCCTTAAACTGAGTTATGGTAGCTCTCAGGCTACAGAACAAAAGGATGTTCAAAGATCATCTTCTAAAACTATGTCTAATTCCCCTCCCCTGATCTACTCTTATAAAACCCCATTGACATGATTTTAAATTCTCATAACGCCTCGTAGTCACAAAGTGTAACTTCCTGGCACAGCTCTCTTGCTTCACAATGCGGCCATAGATTAAGAGCCAGGGGTGTGTTGGCAGGAAAAGCAGACACAGTGACCTTCTTGCCGCATGGAATCATTATGTCTGGGTGCACTCTGACAGTCTATTTTCGGGTTTTGCATAACTCCAACTCAGAGGGCCAAATGCTCCCTCCCTACACTCGATGGAACTGGAAGGAGGAGGGGAAGAGTGCACAGAGTGTGAAAAGGAGACCAGGGTGGTCAGCAGTTAGGCTACCCTGAGTGAAGGGACTGTCACTCAGGCACATGATATCCCCAATTCACTTATAACCTGGATTAAGTCCTCATCAAAGGAAGTAGTTCTAAAGTCTGAACTAAATCTGCAGTAAAATGCCCTTAAAACAGTTCTAGAAGTAGAGTGTCCTTTAAACTTATTTTACATCTGGAATTTCACTTCTGGATGATAAACTTCATTTCATTTCTCTTCTGAAAGGCAAAAGGGATGTTAACAGCCATCTGATCAGTTTATTCCATTCATATCGGTGCTGGGCACTGAGTTGGGCATAAAGGAACAAAAGCACCTCTACATTGCCTTCTTCTGCAAGCAAGCCCTGGTACTTTTCTCTTGTGCCATCTCTGCAGAACCTTGCACCCAATCTAGGACCTGACTGAATTGATACTCCAGTCCAGCACTCACTGAAGAATACACCAGCATATCCACTGACCACCACACACGGAATAACCTTGAGATACTAAGACTGGCATGTCAGTGACGAGTCCTCACACTCCTAAAAGACCATGTCTTGAATTTAAATTGAAGTGGGAGGGTTTGTACAGAGCATGGGCACCTTTGATCAGGGTGAGGAGGGTTGAGTTGGTTCCAACCCCAGAAGAGTGGATCTAATCATCTACTCAGGTGGAGGAGGAAAGAAGGGAGCATATTCTCCTCAATCTCAGTTGAAAGGAAGCTCACAGGCCTAGATCCAGACATGGGCAGGAGTGGGCCTCTGCAGGCTGCATGCACCAACTGGCATGCATATGTTGCACCTGGGGCAGTAACAAATGGCCCACTGCATTTCCCTGTCTCATTCAGAGCCACCTGGGAAAACAGCAGGCTGTTGCTGTGGATGCTAGAAAGAGCTGAGCTGTGGGTTTGCAGCCTAGCACTGGTCTTCCACTGATCTTTCTGCAGAATTTCAAGCACCATTTGACCGCTTTCTTATCAATACTGCTGCTCTTGAGGGAAAGCAGCTACCTAGTCCACCCAAGAATTCTGCTTTCTGGGCTCTCTCAGGACAAAAACACAATGCTGGGAGGGAGTGGTGTCTGTAAACTTGAAACCTCAAATTGCACTGGTAGGACAGGTCCTTTGTTGGCCAGGCTTGACACCTCATCGAATTTCTTTCTCAGGCTGAGAATAAAACATAATTTGGCACTGGCCAAATTCAGCTGCACACAGTGGGAGGAGTGGGACTAGGTGGACGAGAGGGAGACAAGAAAAATGGTGGGAGGGGCTAAATAAATGAAAGCCGGATCAGACAACTGTTAAGACAAAAAGTCCTGTTAGCCTATGACCCTTTAAAGGACAGAGTACAGGTTTTACAAAAGCAAGGACCCAACCGGACTGCAGCTAATCGTTGCTGCGTTTCTGAACAGGCTGCCATTGGTAAATTATTTCCATGGGAACATGGCTGGCACTGTGAGGATGCGTCCAGAGGACGACGGGGAGGGGAAGGGAGTGAGCTCTCTCGCCTCAGTGCCCCCTGAACCCCCCACCCCAGAACCTCCATGAAGATCACAGAGTTGTGAGAAAAAGCTGTGTTCTCAGACGCAGGACACTCAGCCTGTGTCCTGGCTCACCATTCACCAGGGGAAATCACTCGGCCTCTCAGACTGCTGAGATTTCTTGTACAGCTGAAATAAGGGTACTAATACTTCCGGAGCCACCTCATCTGATTGTTTGTGAGGCCTAAAATAAGATAATACAGGCGAACATGCTTTGTAAATTGGAATGAGCCCCGCACAGAGAAGGCTGCATTTTATGACTATGTTAACCTCAATTCCTGCTCTTTTTCTGGCCTGGGCTGCATCTCATTTCTGTCTTTGAAAACTCTCTTCCCCCATAGCTGGCTAACTTCTACCATGCTGTACTTTTGGATGGCACTTGAGCTCTGACATTGCACCACTCCATCTCCCTCGGCGGGGGAGCACAAAGGGAGTCTCATCCTTGCACACACACTTCTCCGCATTCTCCTGAGCCCCGTCCTCTCCCGATCCCCGAACCCAGGTTTCACTTTTCCCTGAAAATGTTTACCAAAGATATAGGATGAAAACCTGCTATTATGTTTGAGATTCTTGGGCCTATCTGTTACAGCAGCTACTGTTATCTTAGTTTATCTGGCGTGTGATAAATACACTAGAAAACAAAATACAAGTGACTGCCAAGTGTCTCTCTGGGCCGGCTTCTATGAGAACTGTTATTTTCAGTGCCAGGTCAACTTTAATCTCTTAGATCTAGAATGAGAAGGCTATTTTGGGGAGGAGACTGTTATGCTGGCATCTCTATTTGGGTATGAACATTACTTATGGAAACAACAGCATACAAGTGTGTGTGCTGGCTGGCACTTGCCAGGTCATGCGGGCTGCCTGGGCAGTGGTCTGAACAGGCCCATGCTTGGAGGGGCAGTCTGGAGCAAGAGTGAACCTCCAAATTTGACCCTAAGGACAATTCTAGAGATTTTAAGAAGTAGGCTCCTCAGGTCCCAATATGTCCTGGAAGGGTCCTGCGTCACCTCCACAACCAGAGTTTCAACAAAGCAAATCAAAGAAGCAAATTAATTTATTCATTCTTTCATCCATTCAAACAAATATTTTTTTTCCTGCAAGGGAAGATTTGCCCTGAGCTAATGTCTATTGCCAATCTTCCTCTTTTTT